TAACTTAAAAAGCAACTAAAACCGTTTTTTTTTATATACCAGGTCAATAAAAATGATAGCTGATGTTTCAGATCAAAAATAGTATAGTATAATTTCTTTCATTTTTTTTTCTGATAAATAGATCAACTTTTTTGTTTTTGTTCCAGTTTTCGAACAAATTCTGTTTTTTGAATATGAACTGTATATATAAATGAAGATGATGATAAATACAGTTTATGGATTATTGGATGCTGAAAATACTCTATTATCATTTGATATCCTTGAAAATTTACATATACGAAAGTTTTTAACGATGTTTAAAACAGCTTTTCTAAATGAATCTTGAAATATCAAATATACAAAACAGTTTGTTGAATTATTGATAAAAGTTGAATATTTAAGGATTAAAGGTATTTTTTTACCAAGAAGAGCGGGCCAAAGAGGTATCCAACATAAAAGAAATATAATTGTCACACCAAAGAGCATAGCTGCCGATTTATATTGAATTTTAGCTTCATAAATAGTATTTTTATCATTGTTACTCCTGTTTGCTAATTTTAATCTATTTAAAATAACTTTAAATACTGTAGCATAACTAAAAATTGTAGCTACTATCCAAACGCAAAATCCACAGAGAAGTATGATAGTTATAAGATATTGAAATTTTGAGCCTTTACTTAAACACTTATAACTAACAGCTGATAGATTTTCTTCTCTTGTTTCGTAGATTTTATAAGAAATTTGAAAGATAAAACCAACGATAATAGATTGAAAAAAGTTGGTGATATTTAATATAAGAACATGTTTCTTTTTTAAAATATGAGGCTTATGAACAGCAAACCATCTTTCCAGTGAAATTGAAATGGATGTTAGAAAAGAGTATGTTAAACTCATGTAAGCAACAGCAATTGTTAACTTACAAAAGATATTACTACGCAATAATCCAGTTTCCATTATACCTATTATTGGTATCACAAATAAACAATTAAATAGATCAATTATAGCCAAAACTTTAACAAAATAATTTGATAGAGTTGTAGCTTTAGTTTGAAATGGAAAAAGAAAGAGAATAATTAAATTTGAAGGAATACCAATAATGAAATAGAGTGTTAAAGCGGAGACTAATAGAATACAATCAACATCCATTTATGAAGAACAAGTTCTAAGTTTAAATTTAGGCAAAGAACTGAACAAATTTACACACTTTATCATTTGTATTAATATCTTATGTATTTAATATTATTTAATAAGCTTAACATCCTTTTATTAATAAAGACCAAACATATTTTACACAGATAAGTTATAATACGTTCTATGATTATAGATTAGCTTATATAGTTCTACCCGTTGCTATAGTTATATATTTTCTTTGGGTAATTATATTTTTCCTACCGATTTTAATGTCCTGAAAATAGTTTATAGCATCTTTTTAGCATCTAAATCTAATTTTTTATCTCGTTTTTCTTGTATTTTATAACAAAAAACAAGTGCTTCTAGATGTGTGCATAATATAGTTGTGTAAATACACTTTTATCACTTTTATATCCCTTGAACATAACGCTAAAAGAGTGTTCATTTTATATAATAATTTTAAGATAACATTCTCAAGTAATAACCTGCGTTGTCATAGATTTTGACGCTTCAGTTACTTTAGTTCGAGGCTGTATGCCAAAAACTTTTTGTAACACATGATAACGAAAATTTTCTTGAAATATCATATAAATAAAGCAATTCGTTGCATTATTGAAGAATATACCATATTTTATAACTAGAGTCGTTCTTATTTCATAAATTTCCAGAAGAGATGGAATCCAACAGACAAAAAATACTATTGTAACTCCAAAGAGCATTGATGAAGATCTAAATTGAATTTTAGTATAATTGATATCTTTCTTCTGTACTTTAGATTTATCTTTGTTGAGTTTTCTTAATACAATTCTAAATATACTTATATAAAATAAAACTATACCAAGTATTAATAAAATGAACAAGGAAACCAAGAGAGACTTTGATAAAATTGACCTACTTGCTGTTTTAGAAACACATTGAATATAGTTTATTGTATCATTGTTGTAAACTGGTATAAGATTGTAGCTATTTAATGGTTGAATAATTATGCACGAAGATATGAATAAGATGCAGGCAATTAAAATATAAACATGTTTAACTTTTAAGATATGTGGTTTGTTTACTGCAAACCACCTCTCACCAGCAATAGCGCCTGATAACAATATTGAATTAGTTGTTAAACAGTATATTATTGATCCAGCCAATTTGCAAAATATGACATTTTGAAAAACACTCATTTCATTGATAATTGTTATTGGAATAACTATTGAACAAGTAATTAAATCAATGATAGCCATTATTTTAACGAAAATAGTAGACATATTGCGTACTTTTCCATTTATTGGATAAAGAGCAAGTATCAGTATATTTGAAGGTATACCTATTAATATAAAGATTATCATAACGATGAGAAAAGGAACCCATTCTCCAGAAGGAACGTTGTATATTATCATAATTTCAAGTCACTTGTCAAGAATTTATTTGAAAATAACAAATATTTTGACAAATATTCATCATATATAGAAATATAATACAAAAGGAGTATAATTAACCTTAATGAACAGATAATTGAATTTTTACAATCACTGTCAAAAGGCAGAGGTAATAAATAGAATCTTGTAATATATCAATATTAATTAATTAAAGTTGCTAAGATATATCTATTAAAGGGCACCAAGAGTAAACAGAAAAACACTGAATAAATATGTTTTTGTTATTATTAAACTTTTATAAACCCAATCTGATTTAATACAATTAAAAGTTACACTGTATTTTTAATATTTCTTATAATGTAGCAGTTTGTTTGGGTATTTGTATAATGGTAAATAGTAAAATTAAAAGGTAGGTTGGTCTTTAATAGTTCTTAAACGTTCGGTAAATGTAGGCTTAGAACGTAACGGTGAGAATACGACTTTATTTAAACATGGCTGTATATTTGGACAATAAAGAAAAATACTTGTTTATTCAAATAATCTACAATCGCGTCGTAATAACAAACTAATAGGTATTAAAATCTATTAAAAGAAAGGAAAGAAAATGTAGACGTTCTCTTTAATCTATTTGAGTCCCTCTTTAACCAAATTCTTTATATTTAGTCTATTAGTCTATTTTTAGCATTCAGAATGTTTTTTTATTATTGTTACTATTTTTAGATATCTTCAAGAGAGTAATTCTAGCTTATCTGTTATTGATAGATTTCTATTTTGCGTCTATTTTTATTCCTATATATTCTATGTATTAAGGATATTGTCAAAGTTAGAAGCTGTCGGCACAAAAAGATATTTCAACAAACACAGTATTAGTACTCAGATAATAAATGCGAATGCTATAATCTAACAAAGATGGCATCAGTGTTAGGCGTTTTTCTTAGTTAGCTTTTATATAATCTCCCGTCATTGTACTAATATTCTACGGCCTTAATGGAAGCTTAGCCAATTAATATATACTATTCAAATGATCCTATTATCATTTTGAAATTTTTATCTTATAAAAAGACTAAAACTTTACGCTCCAGGAGACTATAAACTACAAATAGTAAATTCTTCAAATCGACAACTTCCTATTGTTTTGAGCAGTAAAAATGTAACATTATCACACTGTAGATGATTCCTCTGTTGTTATTCAATCTATAGAGTTAGTTAAGTACTTTGAAATAATTCTCGTATTAATTATGATAATTAATAAGATTTTAATGCCAAATAATAATATCATTTCATCATTTTTCATGTATTTTTGCCGATTGTATAAATGTTTAGTCAATTACAATATATTTCTTTAAATGTTCACAATCTCACACTAACGGTAGCTATAGATGGATCTTTAGTATTTGTAAAAGGTTCAACTGTATTTCTGATTCTCAATTGAAAAATTCTTGACAAATTCAAAATTATTCTTCTTCTAAACTTTTTTTGAAATATCATATAAATGAAACAATTTGTTGAATTATTTAAAAAAGTGATATATTTTAAAGGTAATGGTAGTTTAATTTCGTAGAGCGCAAAAAATACTGGTATCCAAGTAATCATAAATATTATTGTTACACCGAAAAGCATTGACGCTGACTTGAATTGAACTTTAGCGTCAGAGATTTTCCTTAGAGATTGGTCAACTGAAGGTGCCTTCATTCTTTTTAAAACAAATTGAAATACGCTAATATATAACATCATTACTATACTCATCATCAGTATAAATCCTGCGGTCAACAAGTAAGTTGTTACTTTTCTCATATGTGTCTGCGGAGATCTGCAGAAATAAACAAATGTCATTTCATCGTCTGTTTCTTTTATAATTCTATAATTCACTGCAGACAAAAAGCCAGATAAAAGACATTGAATAACGTTTGCTGAATTCAAGATTATTACATGTTTTCTTTTAAGTACATGAGGTTTATGAACAGCAAACCACCTTTCTACAGCTATAGATATTGAAGTCAGAAAAGAAAATGTTAAAGTACAAAAAGTTATTCCAAAGGTCAATTGACAAAAGATAGTACTATTCAGAGAGAATGTTTCAACAACAGCTATACATGGAACCACCACAAGGCATGTAAACATATCAGTAAATGATAAAACCTTAATAAAGTAATTGGATAAAGTTGTTGTTTTACCACGGAAAGGATATAGTAATATTATTATTAAGTTTGAAAACGCTCCTAATAACAAATAACAGCATGAGATAGTAAGGAAAAAGATGTGATTCTTCAACGCCATAACACAGTAAAATCGCAGATGTCTGCAGTCGTAATACTGAAGATTCACTGACATAAATAATTCATTTTAGGTTTCATCACTTGGAAAGTACTTTTTGCATTAGTCTTAATTAAAAGTTCATTAAGCATCAAAGGTAATGGGCTTTTCTCTCCATTTTCACAAAAAAATTGAATTTATACTATAGTATATTATACAATATCTAGATTATTAGTTGGCTCTTAGTTCACTATCCTGATTATTATTTTTAATACTATAATAATCATTTGTAATATTAATGAAAGCATGGGGAACTAATTAATTTTATAATAAAAGCCATCTTTCACCTACAAGAATATGAATATGAATTATTTTTAGGGAACGTTATAAAAGACTTAATAAGCATTATTCTTGCAGTTCATCTTCTTGTTTGAATAGCTATATGATAGACGTAAAAAAAATAACAAATTTCGAAAGTTCATAGAGTACATAGGCTATATGTTCCGACGACAATCATCTAATTGTCCTAATTAAGGTAAGGTTCCTTTTAAACGATTCTTATTAATATTTATGTCCTGACTGACCAATATAATTCTAGTTTAAGTAGCTTTAATAAGTTATAAATTAAGGAGAACTATAAAAATGAATTAACTATGTATTACTTTCCGGTACATATCTATTTATCAGACATACATATTTAATGTGTCAACATTCAACAGGCGATATACTGGTGTTTTTCACTTAGAATATATAAATACTTGTATATACTATAGGATAGTTTACTAGTTTTCTATATTTTCTTCAACTGATTTATTTGTAATCTTATTATGATAAAAAAAGTCAGCAAGAGTTGTAGTCTTGCTCCTAAAAGGATAAAAAAGGAGTATATCAAGATGGAAGGTACCCCTACCAAACTGAATATGCTAATATTAACAATAAAAAGAATATTTGAAATACTGTCGGATAGAGTTCTCTTCATTTGTAAAATTGAACAATATTTGTTGAAATATGCCATGTTTATTCTTGAAATTTTCCGAAATGTAGCTGCAGATATAGGATGAAGACGTTCTCTTGAAGTCCATTTATCTAACAAAGGGAAGAAACTATTGGTCATGAATACTCTCGTGGAAATATATTTTACTGTTTGTTCTTATAAATCAATAGCTGCTTGATTAACAAGAAGAGAGCATTATTTTAATATTTCCGTTTGAAAATAAGTATTAATTAGCCATTTCTACACGGTTTTTCGATAGTTTTAATTAGAAATTTAGAAGAAACAAATGTACACAAATGGCAAGAAACCATTCCGAGTCTACTAACTATGCATATTTGTTTGTTTATTGATTATTGTTTATTGAATCTTGACTATAAATTTATAGCTATGTATATAAATTTCATATTTATAGCTATAAATGCTAAATAAACGATATAAACTTTATCGTTATGTTCAAACTAGTCCTGACAAAACTTATTACGTCACTATGGTTTATATTTAATAATAAAGAAATGCAATCAAGATTGTTAATCTAGGGTTTCTCTGAATAAAACTACAGTAGATGTCGCTTTAAAGATTATCTCAAAATAAATATGTACAAATTAATGCAATTCCTGTCATGTTCTTTAAGAGACCAAATAACTGACTTTAAACCTTATTGCAGAAGAGGAATTCTTAGAATGTTAGGAAATTATGGTGAGTTTTAAGAATATACAACACTTTAAACGATATATATTTGACTTGTTTCAAGGATATTATAGGTCTCCTAAACAATAGTATTAAATCAAAAACAAAATTATGTAATTTAAGACAAAGTGTTGAATTACTATTAAAAATATAATAGATTAACTGTATATTTTTGGCTTCTTGTCCAAAGACGGCCATCAAAAGAAAGAGAGTAGAATTGCATACATTTACATTATGTGCATACGTATATAATGTATTTTATATGTAATTTTCTGTGCTTGTTGACAAAAACAATATCAGTGAAATAGTATAGCATTAATAAGTCATGACTATATATACATATATATATATATATATATATATATATATATACTGTATATATAATGTATATATTTTATACACGACTGCCTATATTAAATAGTAATCTTTACATTTAATAGAAAAGAATTTTCATAAGATTTCTATGTCAAATAGAAATGTAATCCAACATTTTAATATTTTCCATTTGAAAAAAATATAATATTTTCTTTTGGATTGAAAGATAAGTCAATACGAAGATATTTTTATAATTAATTTTATAAATATCTCATATACTATTTCAAAGTAGATGGCGTTTATCTGTAAAAGTAACGGTTGTTTATTAGCGAACGCCTATGTCATTTATTTTAGCTATGTTTTCGAGAGGAAGGAAAATTCCTAGAGTTGAAAAGAAAAAAAATACTAAATTTACGAGGAAAAGTCACAGCGAAGATGATTATTCAAATTTACCAGAGACTTATACAAGTCTCAATTCTACCTGGAAAACAATAGATAATATGAAAGAATTTATCGGACTTCCTATGCAATGTCTTTTGCCTTATCAGGTACAGTCAAATTACTGAAGAATAATGATGTCATCAAATTTATTTAATTAAATTAACATTATTTCATCTATTACAGATAAGACAACCCGTGAAGAGAGCCGAAAGTAAAGACGTACGCACCTTAAAGACAAACTTTAAAAGTAATTCAACAGAGAGTGAATTGTATAGTGAGGGAAAAATAAGTACAATATATATCAAAAAAGTTAACGGTGGTTTGGGATTAAGTATAGTTGCCGCACGAGCCAAGGTACGAGTAAACCTTATTGTTTATACTGTATCAATATATAAAAAATTAATATTCTACTAAATGCATTAATAGTAAATAATTTATATCATATTGGTTGAGTACTTGAAGAGTTGTTTACTGGAAAGCAGTAAACACAAAATAAAAAGACTAACTTAAATGAAAGCTATGAAAAGCATCTAAGAAACACTCGCTACTTTCATCTTAACATCATCTTTAAATAAAAGCCATTTAAAAAAATCCAAAAACATTTTTCCTCTTCTTTCAAAATAATTAAACATGTAAATATTTTTGCTTATTTATTCGTAGGGAAGCAGTCAGTCCAACAGCGGTATATTTGTTAAAATGGTCCTAAAAAATGGAGCCGCCTACTTTGACGGAAGGCTAAAAGAAGGCGACCAATTACTTGAGGTCAATTGGCAAACTTTATTAGGAGTTAGAGAGGAAACTGCTGCTCATTTATTAAAGCAAAGTGGACCAGTTGTAAGGCTTAAAGTTAAGAAAGGAGCGGCTTTTGAGGAAGGCGTCCTAAAAGTAAGAAACGGGTTTTCTTACGATAAAAAGAAAAATGAAAATGATCTGTTAAAGAATGTCAGAAGAAGATCTATTTCATTAGATATGCTCTTCGAACATGAAAAACAAGATTTAGTTGACGCATATAAAGATTTATGTAGGCAAGCATCAAAAGTGCTCTATAACGACGGTCCAAAATCGTTTAAAAATGCTGAATTAAACTTGTTAAAGAAGCAAAATTGTATAAACTTGAGAAAAAATTTCGAAATTTCTCGCAATGGATCTTGGGACAGTGAAAGATTTGAAAGAGAGAGAAGAAAGCGAAACCCTCTTCCCTCGAAACAATATTCTTTTCCTGGCAGTAAATCCTCAACGTAATTTCTTAATATACAACACTATATCTATCTTTTGAATAATCAAAACAGAGGATAAAGGAATTAAATAGGTTACGGAAGGAGAAAATTCCTTTAGTCAGTATAAAACTGTATATTAAACATAAAATAACAAGTCGATTAGCTTACAAGATTGAGTAATGCCTTACGTTATGACGAATGCAAAAGAAGAGGAAAACGAGAGTGTTTTATCTTTATGTGACTTTATATATATGTATATTATTTATTAATTTATATATCACGATAAAAATATAGCGAAATATAATTTGGAAAATATAACTATACGTAATAATTAATGTTAAACTACATACAGGATATTCATTACTTATCAGTGAAGTAATACGTAATATGAAAAACGTAATTAGTAGAGTGGTTTTATTATTTCTAATATCTAGACAAGTGTCTCTATGGATATTTTATTTACACATTAACTACAAAAAGAAAACCGAGCATATACTGTACATACAGTATTTGTATACTACAATACTTTTGGATTTTTTGAACATTTATCGTCTGCTTTACAGAAATATTCATATACATATTTCATTTGTCTAATAGAATTGATATAAATAGAAAAAGATGAATAGATTCCTGAGAGTTGGAAAGTGGATAGAAATGAATAAATAAGTAAAGATAATAAACTAGTCATGATAGTTTGAATTTTGCATTAGATTACTAAATAACATAACATTTTGTTCTAAAAAATTATAGTCATTTTGATAACTCGTCCGTTCTCAGTTAAGGGACTTCATATAGGGAATAATCAACATCATTACATTTCCTTATACTGTCAATTATATGATTTTCAACACGTGTTTTATTTTATTAACAAATCTCAAAAAAAGTAGACTTAACAAGAGATTAATAGAATATTTATAATAAAGGAAATAAGAGAAAAGACAATACTTAATAAGTGCTTTAGGTATATACATACTATATATACTGTATACTGTATATATATAGTATTTTTATTTAACAACAATACGATCGTTTAGTAGTGTTGAATATATAGATTATAGTCATCTCTTATTTATTTAAATCACGCCTACTTATATTATTTTCTTGTCTCCTTTTCCCTTTTAAGTTTATACTTCTGTGTTTATACTTTCACCGAAAGCTTCTATCTACTGAAGTATAGATAAAAACTAGGGATTTCCAAAAATAACTTTACTAATAGGTTATACTACAAGACGGTGGTAAAATACTCACGTGTACATTTACTGACTATCATTATTATTATTGTAAAAAATTTGTTGTGTAGTAACCCTTGCGCTAGATGGCGCCCTTCCTTTTACTGTACACGCAGCACCGCTCCCAATATAGCCATACACTCTTGGACCATATTTACGATCATAACACTTTACGCAGAACAAACTATCATCGTGCTCGTTCGATTTTCCAGGTTCTAACAAACGATTGCAATCAGCTGGAGAGTAATAAATAAAAATATTTTATTATTGAAATAAATTCTTGCTTCTGTTTACTTTTAATTCAATAAATAAATAAATAATATCTGACCACATTTGTAACACATTCTATGCCAGTTTCTGTTTCCAGCTTGAAGCATTTCAGCGTGAAATACAGGTTTTCCACACGCTGAACAATCACTAAAATCAATAGTAGATCTGGGAGGAATCTTGGCTGCAATTACAAGTGATAATCATAATATAAATACTGTATATATACTGTATATATATATATATATATATTGATATTTCTAATAAATTGCTTGAAAACTGCAAATATAGTAATTTTTCTTTACCTGTACTCATGCTGCTTAGGCTAGAAAAAGCAACTGAATTATGAGAAGTGTAGGTTTCCGTCTCTGTCCTATTTTTCGAAGAGATCGTAACAATCTTTGGATCATAGGTTGCTGATCCTTTAAAAGCGTGTAATCTAAAAGAATGTTGTCTAATCAGAGAATGGCAAGAGGAACAGAAGATGTCTCTTTCAAATTCATTAAACGTGGAAGACGTTAAAACTTTATCGCAGGCAGCTGTTTAATAATAAAAAGGCATATATTTTCCATAATTTAAAATACATTACCAAACTTTAGCTTAAACAGTTTATCTCATTTAATAGAATAAAAATAAATAAGAAAAAAAAATAACCATTCTACCATTGCCTTTGCTGTAGAAAACCGATTACAAACGATTTTATGAAAAATCCTAGCTATCTTGCAGGTGTATTCTCTCGTTGCTATAGTAACTAAATATTATGAATTATTAGATCTGTCTATCTAGAATGCATAATGTGCTCTAAGCAGATATCCTTGTTTAAACACCATTAATAAATTGATAATTAATCGACTATCTTTCAAAGTTGGACAAAATCTTCATTCAATATATAGTACGTATAATTTTTATAACCATCAAGCAACATACACTAATCTTTAGTAATATTCAAATATACTTAGGATATTGTTTCACAGTTAACATCCGCGATTAAATTTGATTTTTTTTATTTTTAGATCGCATCTACTTCCATCATTACTAAATTTAAATTCGTTGTATATTGTATATATACTGTATTATATATACAGTATATTAAACAATTCATGCTGTTTGACATAAAAAACGCTTTCAATCTTATTTATTAAATTTGATTTGTATATACAAAAATTTACGGTTTAGATATATATATATATATTTACTGTGAGAAATAGAGAGAGAGAGAGAGAGAGAGAGAGGGGGGGGAGAGAGAGGGAGAGAGTACTCAACAATTCAATAAACTCATAAATATGCTCTTGAATAGAAACGTGTTACTCCTTATCATATAATATATATATATACTAACATTTTATAATTATTCAACATTCAATATTTTGTATGTTATTTATATTATGACTTTTTACTGTATTACTATATATAACTTTATTAAAAGTTTGAAATATAATTCTACTATATGTTTATATTTTATCCATTCATTAAAAATTAAGTGATTTTTTGTGTAAATTAGGTAAGTGTTAAGTTAATTTGATTTTTCTTCGATTTACATTTAAATATTAATTGCTTTTTCCTATTTTTTATAATGAATACCCTTGCTGTTCGCCATATTTCACTTAATTAAAATATTTCGCCTTTGTCGCCTTTCTTACTTTTTAGATAGAAATATATTGTAATTATACTTATTTACTAACATATTAATACTTGGTAGAAAATTAAGAATATCCCACATAAGACAGATAGCAAACAGAACACTTTGACTTTTTAAATCTATCTTTACCTAATAGATGGTACTACTGTTCTCTTAATGAGCCAATGTTTGGTATTAGTAAAGATTAAAAAATATATAACTACCATTTAGAAAAGTACTGTTTAGGCAAAATAGACTGAATTTAAATGTGCACTAAAACTTAACCAAATACTATTACCAGGTAATCACTAAACCTTAAATCTACATCTGACTTGATATTTTGAAAAACTACAATATATACAGTATATATAGATATAAACTGTCTCTCTCTTTTAAAAAAACCGCTAATTAACTTGGAAAGTAATTTAGACAAAAGATAAAAAAACCAGGGAATTTGAAGTAAATAATACAAAATTTCAATACAAAACACAGGAAAAATAGATTTATACATTAATTTCCTGAATTTCTAAAGAGAGATAGACAGATAGATAGACAAAGAGTAAGAATAGTAAAACTCTAAAAAGAAAAAAGATTTGCCCAGTAAAAAGAAATATTTGCAAAATATAAAAAGAAAGATTTTAGATAATGTTAAACATTTTATTACACACAAAAAATAGTATAAAAAAGGTAATACCGCAGGTAAAACACTTTGGATGCCAAATCTTTCCTGCAGCCTTTTTCTGTTCATTAAAGTAAACGGTACCATTGCACCTGGCGCATGACAGGGCGCCGTTCCTAACAATACGATCCACCTTTTTCGATACTGGATCACAGACGTAGGAAAAACCTTTAAATGATAAAAAAAAGAGAAAAAAGCAATTATATTTATAAATATAAGATACAAAATATAAATACTTGAAAAAGCTTCTATTTACAAGATTTTAGTTTAATAGTTTTTTATCAATTAGTATTGCCAATACATTCAACAAAAATTATAATTTCTTTGCTGCTGTAGGCTTGGTTAAACTGTAATTAGTACAGTGCTGAAAAAATTTTTTTTTCAGACATATGGACTGGCAATCAATACTATTTTAACTGTTTATTCCACAAACGTTCGTTGAACGGCGTATAATATAGTCCTATAGAACAGCTGACACTTTTTTTTTCAAAATATATACCACAATATTCACATACATGCATCATTATGAGAAGGTATAAAAAAAGTTATATATATAGAGTATACTGTTTTGTATACTATAGTTTTTATATGCTTAATATTCATACATATATGCAGTATATACAGTATATATATATATATATATATATATATTACCTATTTAACTCGCTACCTTAGCTGTTTATAATAGTAGAAAATGGCATGCTTTTTTTATACCTTTTTGTCCAAATGATAAGATTCCCATTTGATGCAAATTTTTACAGAAGCTATAGATTATTTACGGCAATTTTTGTATGATTTGCACTGCTAAAGTTGATTGAAAAATGACTAACTGAATCCCTTCTTCTTGTTATTATATATATATGTATTTATAATTTCCATTTAAAGCAAACAGCGCTAATTTTGTTAAAATCAATTAAAGATTGAAAAAGAATCAATAAAATTAGGAAAAAGCGTTTTAAAAATCTATATTTCAGTAATTTTTGACTAAAAAATACCAACCGAAAAGGCGTTGTATGGTTTAGATGCTAAATGTAAGCTTATATTGCAGGTCGATATTGTTCTATTGGCGCATTGATCGATTTAGAAAACGTGACTCGACCCGTTTTTGAATGATGATAGTTAGGTTTAAAAGCGATAGATGGAGTATTAATTATTGTATTGAAACTTTTTATTTTAATTAAATATTGACTTTTTTTTAAAAATAATGATTCCAAAAATTTCTCTTTTTAACGAATTTACCGAACAATTCGGTCTTTTTTTGTATTTATTTTTAAATATTTAACATTCTTACTTCACAATAAAATAAAACAGATTCTCTTAAAACTATAAATTTAACATGTATTAATCTATTATTAGATTCAATCTATCGATTCGCTATAGAACAAAAGAAAATAGAGGAAATATATACAAATAGACAATTGATAACTTTTATCTTGAATGCTTGAATATAGTAGTATTCACTATATTTAGACTCTTGAATGAATTTTCATTGGAGAGAAATATTTAGAAATATAGATTAAAAAATGGAATAAGAATCTTTTAGCATGTATTTTAAAGATGAAATATAAACAATTATTCATATTACTCAATGCTAAAATAAAGTATAGAATTTATATTAGTTTGGCTAAAATTAATGGTTTTATTGGCATTAAATTCGGATAAAAGGTGTGTGCATTTCCTTATAGTAAAAATACTTTAAATATATAGTTATTTCTCATTGATTTTGTTCAAGACTTAAGCTCTTTATTTGATTTTATTGGAGAGAGTAATAACTTAAAAAATAAGAAAAAATTAATAAATGAACCATATGTTTAATACTAAACTGAATCATAATTTATCTTTTAAGAACCTAAACATTACATTGTGAAATGTAACATTTTTTTGTCTATATAAACTTTACATTAAGTCTTCTTTATCAATCGGATTTCTGTTTATTCTTTATTTAATTGCAAATTAAAGAATATTAGCTAAAATCCTGTTATATATGCTTTGGAGGTGAAGGTGAAGGTGATAGAAGAGGGGAATAAGAGTAAAAAAATGTAGGGTAGACTATACACATATATACATACAGTATATTCAAAGAAATCTTTTTGTTTAATATTATTAAAGTCAACAGCTGACCTTGATGTTTTTATTCATCAATAAGATTTTTCATGCTTTTACTTGATATACAGAAACAAAAATTAATTTGAATTATTTAACATTCCGCTTTAAAAATCTATTTACTTATCTGAACCTTATCTTATTTAAATACTGTTCATTTTCATTCTAAAATATATAAATATCAAATTAATTTTTAACGTCTGCTACTCTTACCGATTTTAGGCAGATTCTCCTACAAAAATTTTCTATATTCTTTCGAAATTTCTCTTGAAATATTAAATATACAAAACAATTCGACGAATTATTGATATATACAGAATATTTTAATATTAAATGCTTATTATTTCCAATTAATGATCCCCATAGTGGTATATAACATATAATAAAAATAATTGTTACTCCGAAAAGCATCATTGCTGATCTTAATTGTAATCTTGCTGAAGAATTTCCATTTTCATCGTTGTTAAATTGTTTTGTTCTTTTTATAATAATAAGAAAAATTGATGAATAAAAACAAATGACTACGAACATAATTGTACAAAAAAAACACATAAGCAAATATTGCGTTAATAATCGTTGCCGTGTAGTGGGAGAAAAACACCTATAAATCAACACACCTTCATCTTCTATCCAACCGAAATTGAATTGATTGGCAGATACTGCACCACTTATTATACTAATTGTAAGATTTCCAATATTGATCAAATAGGCATGCTTCAATTTGAGAAGAAGAGGTTTTTTAACGGCAAACCATCTTTCCATTGCAATAGATGCAAAAGTCAAACATGAATAAGTTGTTGTCATATAAGTAAAACACATTGCAATTTTACAAAATACTGCATTATGAATTATATCAATTTCCTTACATGTAGACAATGGTATTGTAAATATACAAGCTAATATATCAGCCAAAGCTAAAATCTTGATAAAAAAATTGGCAAGTGTTGTCATCTTACTTTTAAAGGGATAGAACAAAAGTATTATAAGATTTGTTGGTATGCCAATCAGAACTAATACGGCCATAAATGTAATAAAAGGAATATGCTGAGTTAATTCAAATACAGTCTGACTTGTATTTGAATATACCATATCCGGAAGGGTGGATTTACGGTGTAAATAACTGCTAACTGTGCTAGTGTACATTTATATATGTTTATTAGTACCGTTTAGACCTATATATTAATTTTTCTTTAATTAATATTTCGCAAAAGTATGCTTCTCTAGGCATTTTTTGTATTATTCTTGCACAAATTAATCATGTTATCCCTTTATTAGAAATATCTTCATTGTTGAACCGATATATTTTAATAAATTGTTACATGTGTAACAATCTCATAATTGTATGTTCGCTATTGTGTAAGATAATAATATCGTATATATGTAATACTAATAGTAAAAGATGGAATAAGAAAAATGTCGTTTTTTCTGGAAATTTTAATTTTATTCTAACATAAGTCAAAATAGAAATGAATAGTGTTTTAAAGGATGTGATTTAGCTATACCCTTTAAGATATTTACTTTTAATCATTAATTTTTAGAAATGCTCGTTTAAATCTAAAAATTTCATTGACTTTTTGAAATTTTTCTCGAAAAGACTAAAGGAAAATATTTCTTTTTCGTCAACGTTCGCTTGAACATTATCCCTAAACCAATCATCTATTTCTGAGAAATTTTCATTTGTCCATTCTTCATTAGCTTTTAAAGCGTTTTCAATTTCTTCGTAAACAATTTCGTCTCCTCCTTCTGCTGGACGACGAGTCATTTGATCTCTAACCTGTAAATAATTGTAAAAATTAACTCAATCATTTCTTATTAAAGAAACTTCTTAATACCTTTTGTATGGTAAAAGGCGTATGACAGTTTCTGGCTACAGCTAGCAAAACTGTTGCTCTATTTCCTCTGGGGCTACAAAAACAACAAACAACAATTAAGTTTATATATAAAGTATATATATATATATATATGTTAATATTAATAATAGTAATAGTTCTTTGAAAAATTATCTTACAAATCTTCAACCCATAGTTCATCTATTCTCTCAAGAGTTCTGTTTCGTCCCCTTGTAGATGCAGATAAAGCGACTAATCTAGTTACTCTTTCCAAATCGGAATAGTATAAATCTTCCGATTTAATTATTCTATCCAAGTATCTATTACAGAAAGGGTAAAAAATTAGTCATAGATTGTTGGCGGTTATCATGTTGTTTTCATTAAACAAGTCCTTACTCGTCCAACATGTTAACCTGTGTTTGGTCAGATACACAAGCTTGTGCTGCAACTAGGTCGTTAATTTCGTTATAGTTTAACTCATTAGTTTTTTTCTGTTGTTCTTCGAAAAAGAAGAAATTTTCTCTAATTTTATCTCCAGAAGATAGAGAAGTACAATAAGCAGTATATCGTTGGTTTGGAGCAATTCTATGGAATAGTTGATAGTTTAAGGTTATAATGAAAAAGTGAAAAGTTTAATTTTTACCTGTTTTCTTTTTGTTCTCTATAGATATTTACCAATTCATTAGCTTTATTAATACAATCTGAATTACCGAAAGAACAAGCAGCAGAACTAACTATTTCTCTTGAAAAAGCTGTGAAATCATCTTCGTTTGGTTTGGGTTCAAATGTAAATTGATTGAACATTGTATCAACAATAGATCTTGTATATTTTCCAATTTCTGCACTATCAAAGTCTGTAAATCTCTCATAGAGTCTACTTAAGCCGTTGATGGCCGAAACCCATGTCCCAGCAGTGTTCTCTTGCTTCAAGAATGTAGTGAAACTCAATGCCTCCACTTCTTTTCTGTATTTATTGCTTGTAAATGAAAAGGCATCGTCAAGAAGTTGAGCCCTGTAAATACGGTCAACGGCATTGACGTCGCTTTTAAGTTTGTTTATCAATGCTGTCTCATCCTCGCTACCGTATTTAATTCTATAGTATCCGGTTGACAAAGAATTCAAAGCAAACCAACTACCAAGACTTGATGGTGATGTATATTCATCCTCTTTTGTTCTAACCATGTGAACAGTTGTAAGGTTTCCTGCACCTGATGCATCATTTGCAAGAGTGATGGGAATGTTCCATGTGTATGACGGAACAGGAAGATCTGGTTGCAAGTATCTCTGTTGATCGAATTTAAGAACATTTCCAGATCGGGTAACATTCAAAATTGGAATTCCACGCTGCAAAACCCACGAATCCATAATTTCTTTAACAGGGAATACTTCTCCATTTGGAAGAGTAACTCCATCTTCTTCAACAACAGTTTGAAAGGAATTCCACAAATTATCAGTAATTGCACTCTTGTAAGCGAAATCAGCAAGGTATTTCTGTTGATAAAAACGATATGATTAATGATAAAATCATTTCATAATTTAAAACATAATCAATGATTTTCAATAAATTAAAAATAAAAAAATTCAGCCAGCTCTGCCCCGAGTGAGGATCGAACTCACGACCTTGAGATTATGAGACTCACGCGCTGCCTACTGCGCCATCGAGGCTGGCTTGAAATTGTTTAAAAAGCAAATTTTTGCAATATCCGAAATGGAAAAGTAAAAATAAATCAAATATTTACAAGACACAATGCAAGCAAAGAACTTTTGTTTGCTAAGGAAAAGTAAAAAGTAAAAATACAAAAAAAGTTTAGCCAGCTCTGCCCCGAGTGAGGATCGAACTCACGACCTTGAGATTATGAGACTCACGCGCTGCCTACTGCGCCATCGAGGCTGGCCTTGTGAAATTGTTTCATAGAATTCATTTTATTAACTGGCAAAAATTTTCATTTTTAGAAAACAAAATTAAAATAATTAAATGAACTAGAAAGGTAAATCAAACAATTTATAAAGAAAAATAAAAAAAGTTAGCCAGCTCTGCCCCGAGTGAGGATCGAACTCACGACCTTGAGATTATGAGACTCACGCGCTGCCTACTGCGCCATCGAGGCTGGCTTAAAATTGATTGTTTAAAGAACAATTTTTTCGAAATTTCGGAAATGGAAAAGTATAAAATATAACGATTATATAAGCTTTAAAGAAAAAATTCGTTCATTAGAGAAAAAGCTATTGTTATCTAAAAAAAAAACAAAAATAAAAAATATAGCCAGCTCTGCCCCGAGTGAGGATCGAACTCACGACCTTGAGATTATGAGACTCACGCGCTGCCTACTGCGCCATCGAGGCTGGCTTGAAGATCCATTAGTTATTTAGGGATTTTTGATAAATTTCATCAATACCTAATTAAAAAGGTACATTGAAACTAACATAATTAATGCCCAGAAAAAACATTAGAAGGTAGTTATATAATAACTTGATGTTTATACTAAAGAAAAAGAAAAATAAAAAAATTTAGCCAGCTCTGCCCCGAGTGAGGATCGAACTCACGACCTTGAGATTATGAGACTCACGCGCTGCCTACTGCGCCATCGAGGCTGGCTGATTTTTAGTAGTAAAATAACGATGATATTGGTATCGCCTAGGTTTTTATGATTGGTTAATCGTACTTGGTCATTCCAATATCGAATATCAAACTTATACTAAAATTTACTGAACAGTACCTTTAGTGACTTTTGGAATGTTGCTTTACCCAACATTTGCTCAAGCATTCTTAGCATTGCTCCTCCCTTTCTGTAAGTAAAGCCGGAGAAGCCACTTTGAGCTTGACTCGGCTTTTGAATATCAGGTCTTTGAACAGGTAAGGATAAGCTTGTTTCGTCTTGTTTTATAATAGAGAATTCATCACGAACCTTTTGGACAAGACCCTATGGAAGAAAATTTAATATTAATATTATTATAACGTAATTACTATATAAACGCAGAATTTACAATATCCCAGTTGAGGACGGCTTCTAATGGTTGCCACTGAAAGAAGGCTGCAAATCCTTCGTTTAGCCAAGTGTCATCCCACCATTTACATGTTACCATATTACCAAACCACTGGTGAGCAATTTCGTGAGCAAGAACGAGAGCAACCCTGACTTTGTTTGCCATGACGCTATTTTCTGGATCATAGAGCAGTTCGTTTTCACCGTACTGAATTAAACCCCAATTTTCCATAGCACCTCCTCTAGATGGAACGGCCACGTGATCTTAAGTAATGTAACATATAAATTATTATAAGAATAGAAATAATATATATCGGAATTAGACAAACCCATTTTAGAGGTTTGATATTCGATTCCTGTGTATTCTTCGAACCAATCTTGAATTCTTCCTGCAGCTCCAGCAGAGAAATTTAAATATTTGGCTTTTTCCGGTTGAGCCCATAATCTTACCTATAAAATTATAAGGAATATACAATATTCTAATTTGTATGTAACTAGCTTACCAATTTTCCATTGGGACTTCTGGTTTCAACTTTCTCAAAATCAGATACTACAAGAGCGACTAAATAGCTGGACATATGAGGAGTTTCAGCAAATTCATCAGCAAACCAACCATCACCGAGATCTCTAGTTCTTTCTAATTCGCCATTTCCCAGGGCATGTCTTGTTCTTTTTCTTTCAACTGTAACTTTAAAAACAGCCTTAAATTCCGGTTCATCAAAACAAGGGAAGGCTTTTCTTGCATGATCGATTTGAAATTGACTGGCCACTAGGTACCGTCTAACCTCTCCAATATCGTAGTAATCAACGTACATGCCATTATTACTAGCAACCTGTAAAGGAATAATTATTGCTTAATAAAATCAAAAAATTTAATAAATAGTGCAATCTAGAGCTAACTCACCTCCATTTCGCCGTTAAAGATCAATAGCATCCTATATTTTGCTCCTTCTGTTAATGTACCGTTTAAATTAACGACAACAGTTTGTTGTACATCGTTTTGAATAGGATTTGCCCATCCAGGAACATTAGCACCGGGAATAGTATTTTCAGGAGCAAGGACTAGGAAAAAATTTCTCACATTTATCCTAAGCTGGTTCAAAACTATTTGGTTGGTTGTTGATGTAACATCGAAATCAATGATAACGGATCCACTAAAAGGAAATCCAGTACTTGGTGAATAGATATCTGGTCTGATCGTAAGAAAGTACTTGTATGGTCGGAGACTTTTTGGAAGTCTTATTGCTTCATTTTGTCCACTTACATTATTGAACAAGCAAATATCTAAATATAAATCAATTATAATAATAATTATTACTTTTTCTTCTAAGTTAAAATGTTCAAGTACTAACTTATTAATAATATCGTTAAACAAAGAAACATTTTAGGAATCATCTTGGTTTCCTAATATTTTCTCATTTTATTATCCTATTTAAAGTTTTTTTTATCATGAGAATTAGCATATGTTAAAAAATTTACAGAAAAAATGACACGTCTACATATCTTTTGATCATTTTCTATTAATTAGTCCTATAAATGTTATTATAATTTAGAAGAAAATGTGAAAAAGGGAAGAAGAAAGTCTAACTGATAAGAAATTTTGTTTAAACAATTAATTGCGCAAACCAATAATGATTATATTCAAGTATTGTTTTATAGGTCGAACTATGATTTTATCAGTTAACAACATTTAATAGAAATGTTAGAACATTCTATCCTCTTAGTTTTAATTAGTCGCTTAAAATTTCTATTTAATGGAAATATAGATGAATTGATAATTCTTGATAAATAGTACAAAAGTTTACATACTAATTTGTGTTAAAATGTATATAGTTCACATGATACAACATAATAAAGCATATAAGATATTAATATAGATAATAAATTAGTTTGGAAAGAGATACTATCATGTGTAATTATTTGTTTATGATACAAATTTACTGATTACATTATTTTAATAGATTAATAGTTATTTTAAGGCGTTTAACATGCTGATTAAGTTAATGTTTTGATTTAAATTTAGAGTATATTGTAGCCTATTTCTCTTTCTTTTAAAAGATATTGTGTGCGTCAAATAACTTTTAATTGAATAAAGGTTATAATTGAAAGACGTTCAAGAACAGATGATTCACAAGTTTGTATTGGAAAGTGAATTATCGAGACAACATCCGTTAGTTTTTCTGCTATAAAAAATATAATAGTCATAGGCAGGAAGAGTTATTGGTCATATATATCAAGAATTCTTTTAGCTATTCTTAATCCAGAGATCAGAGCTCCTTCAACCCATCCCCTTATTTCGGAAGTGTGCTCACCTCCAAACCATAAATTACCATTCATTGATAGAATTTGTTTTTGAATTACTTCTTGTCCAGGTTTAAATAAACCAAATGCTGATTTTTGATAAATTTCATTTTCCCAGACGTGTATTATGTACTTGGTACAATATTTTGTAAAGGAATTTCCATGAATTTCTCTTAATTCCCTAAAGGATTTAACGATAAATTCTTTTTTATGAAAATTATCGTGATAGTAGAGCATTTTTACATAGAATTCAGTAGACAAACTATCCGAAGGATATACGACAAAAGTATGATTTTCTAAACGACTCAGACCACCAGTTATACCAATATCATGCCATATAGGATACCTACATTTAATAGCTATTCTTGCCTCTTTAACATACGATAAAGATCTTATTGGCTCGACTTGCTTTGAAAACTGTCTGTCGAAGTTAATATATTTCGAAGCTGTTCCCGAAACAGTAACTATGACATGATCAGCTAGATATTCTATTCTTTGACAGCATATTGCGCTTTTAGACTGATTAGTAGTTATTAAGAATTTGTTAAAAAACTTTCTAATTCCCAGAACATTAGACTCTAATTGAATTTCTTCAATAAGTTCTCTAGAGAGATATTTTACTAATTTATCATTACCACCAATAATTTGATAGTATTTCATAGTTTTTCGCCGAAGTGCATAAGTTCTTAGATACTGAATTATGCTTCTATCTTCAAATGTGTTTAACCATATAAATTTTTTTAGATATTCAAAAGTTTCCCGATTAATTTTTCTTAAGAATATATCTTTTGTTGAATATCTATCATATATTTTAACAAATTTCCTCCAACCAATCCTATTAATTTCGTTTAATAAAGGCTTTAAAATAAGTTTAACAATCTCTGCACTCTTCAAGAACTTATTTGAATATTCATTTCCGTGTTGGAGTATAGTGTCCAATTTTATAACTCTCTTATCAATATAAAAATAATTGTTATGATTATCTTGTCTTAACAGTCTTTTAGGTAGTTTTGTATGGTTTATTAGAATATTAATTAATTTATGAGAAGTTGGAAATTGCCATGCTCCAAATTCAAAAGTACTATTCCAATATTTCTTCGAATAGATTCGACCACCAATTCTGTTTGATGCCTCCAGAATTTTCACCTTTAAATAGAAAGAAAATAATTACCTTGTCATCCAATTTAAGTAATTTTTTTCATAAATATTAATTATTATACCTTACAACCGTTCTTTTTTAGAGTCAGGGCGCTTATCAAGCCAGATATTCCTGCACCAACGATAATAATTTTTTTCCGGCAAACGTCATTAGATTGTTTATCCTTTAAAGTACTCTTAAGAATTTCTTGCAACTCGCTATAGTGTTCATCTTCTTCAAGTTCAGTCATAACTGATTGGTATAAAATATCTTGAGCATTGAAATATTTTTCTTGATTGAACGTTTTAACTGAAGTAAGAAAGCATTGAATAAAGATAAAGGATGGTATACTTTAGAATGTTATCTACCTTTGTAATAAATTAAACTACAAAGAAATACAAGTAATTTAAACAATTCCATTGAAAATAAAATATACAAGTTTGTTTGTAAACTGTTTTAAAGAATCTTTTCTTTAACTGATGATTTCCTACTACAGTATTTTCTTATGTATTAAAATAAAGTGTTTAAAGCGTGTCAATCAATTGTATACAATAAATTGATTATTATAATGGTTCTTTTTTTAAACATAATTAATTAACCAAAGAGAGAGAGATATATATATATATATACACATTAAGATAATTGGATATATTATAAATTTCCATAACAGCTAATTATAATAATTTTAAAATTTAAAATTATTATATTTTTAACAATAGATTAATAAAAACAAGATTTTTATCTAATAGACTAAGACCAATATAAGATTATCATGCAAAGATCAAAAATATGGGATATATTGAATAGACAACGTCTGGATAATGATAAAAATTGTGATATAATCATTAAAGTGAATAAGAGATTGTTTCCAGCTCATAAATGTATTGTAACATCATTTATACCATTTTTAGAAGTTATGTGTAAATATCAATCAAAGGAATCAAATAAAAGTATAATTTTTATTGATGAAATAAGTGAACAGGCTATGGAAGTTATAATGGATTTTATGTATACTGGTAAATAAATAATAACTATCAAAAATCCATTTTTCCCATACTATAAACTTACTTTCGTATTTTAGGCAATTTACATCTATCACCTGATAATTATGAGGAAATACTAGCTGCAACTGATTTTATGCTTATTGAAGAAGCTAAAATGAAATGCAAGGGTTTCTTAATGAAAATATTAAAAAGTAACGAATACAATAGTAAAAGGTTAGTTAAAATATATGCATGATGATAAAACTTGCTGAAATATGAACTTCTAATCTACTTAGGCAATCGACAATCTCAAGAATTTTAACTATAAAAAAATATGCTGATCTTTATTTATTAGACGATTTATCTATTGAAACTATGAATATTTTAAAGTTAAAATTTAATGATGTAATCGAAGAAAATCAATGGAATGATATATCGAAAGAGGCAATTCTATCGATAATTAAAAGTGAAAACATCAAAGTTGACGAAAGTCTTATATGGTTCCTTTTAAAGTCTTGGATCGAATTTGATGTGATTAATAGAATAAAAGTGATTGATGAACTTTTGCCGTATGTTAAATTCTCTCTTATGAGTGCAGAATTTCTCTATGATAACGTATTTTCCTCAAATTTGTGGGCAGAAAGTAACATATCGGATAATTTGGAAAAAGAAGCCTTACAGTAGAGATTAAATATTAAATATTATGTAATCATTTTATATTTCCTATTTAAATACATAGATATCAACTTTTGACAAGTAGACAAGGAAAACTTCAAACCATTAGAAGCAAACCTCGCTGCACTAAAAATGATAAATTATGCTATTTATTAACTAAAAGCGATCAATTTTTTATCTTCTGTCCAGAACATAATAAATGGTTTGCTCTAGAATCTCCTAAAGTATGTGAAAAAGACATGCAACTCACAGTAGTAGCCGGCCTAGTTTATCTAAGTGTTGTGGGAAATGACGGTTGTTTAATGAAAATTAAAAAATACGACCTTTATTCCAACCAATGGTGTGATATGACCAACTTAGCTACTGGAACAATAAGAAACCTATTAGAGTGTGCCGGAGAACTTATCGGTATTTCTTTAACTGGAATTTTTCTATTTGAGAAAGATAGGTGGGATCATATTTTAACCTGTGACCTTTCCTACATCGATTTTGCTGTTTCTCATCAAAATCATTTGTACTTTTACAATTTATCAGACGGATCAGTTAGAAAAATTAATATTTATCATCCGTTTGAAGAGGTTTATGTGTCTAACTCTCTACCCTTCTTGAGAAATTTACGTACAAAGTGTACTACCATTGCTAAACTTTCATCAGATAGTTTTCTTATAGGTTTCCAGTCAACAATAAGAGAGAATTTTCGTTATTTTTTGCATAAAATAGGAAGTGATAAATGGAGCGAAGTAACTTTGGGAATGGAAAGGATAATGTTTGGAAATTCTACTGAAAACAACCGTCCAAAATATATTGATTTTTCTTCAAAGCTTAAAATGGTGTGCGATAAAGATAAAGAAATAATCTATATATTATATTCAGCAAATAATATAACCACTTTTCATTCTTTATTTAACCTAAAATATTGGAATAATCTATCAAAACCACCAGAAATTGATAGCATGGATCGGATTGCAATGTCATTTCATGATCACTTACAGGGAGATGCAATAATTTTAAACTATCCTACATCATAGGCATATTATTAACAATATTTATATTTATTAATATAATTTGACGTAAATGATTCTAAACTCTCTTTTTAAAATATTAAGCTAGGAAGTCTGAATTCAAAATATGCAAAATAAGTAATTTATGCGATCTCGACATTCTTTTTAAGGGAATATATTTAAGAGTGTTCCAGGTGTTGAATAATTGAGTATAGTCATATTATAGTCAATTGTTGTGTTGATTTTAGAGTATACGTCAAAGTTGAATCCATCAGTAAAGTATTGAATAACGATTCCAGCAATGAAGACAGAGAGCGAAAATATAATGAAGATAACTTTTGGGTATATACGTTTTCTCTTTTCAACTACATTACTTTGAATTTCATCGTTGTAAGATTTGTTAGAATAATGAGCAAGGAGAGCTGATAGCATGAAAGAATAATATAAAATTAAGGCTACTATTATAACGAAAGGCTTATCTACATTCTTTTTCTCTATCATCCTCTGTTCTCTTTGCGGCTAGTTCAACTTGACGTGGCCAATTGGTGAATATTACAAGGAGAAAATTAGTTATTCCACAAAATGTTAATCCTCCAGCTAAACCACTCCATAAACCTAGTTTTCATTAAAAAACCAATAGTGTTTTCTTCAATTTTATTTTACGATCTGATATTTACCCAAAAGTTTTAACTTTGTTTTGAAAAGAAGAGAAATTCCGACTGCCAATGCTCCCATATATCCAATAATTATTACAAACGCACCTGTTGATTGTCTTCCACAACCTCTTAACATACCACAACTAACCGCCTAAGAAATTAATAAGTTATAAATGCAAAAACGTTGTTTAATATGAATGTTTACATTTAACCCGTCAAAGAATAAGTAAGCCGCTAAAGCAGGCATAACTGTAGCTGACATTAAAATTACATCTCTGAAATTTTGTTTTATATATGGTTATTAACTATATTAATATAACTTTAACAGTTCTTACTCAACATCTGTAAATATTTTTGGTAGACCATATCTTCCAATACTGAATATTAAAATAAGAATGAGAGAAAAGGTTGCTAAGGGTAATAGATAAACAATATTAATGATCTGTACTCTCTGTAAAAAGAACCAAATATGCCTTACTCATTATTGTATATGTTACATGAGCTGACGTTCTTGCAGCGTCTTTATCACCGCTACCCAAAAATTGTCCTATTCTAATTGTTGCTGCTATTTCAAGTCCATAGGGTAATATGTATGCTACTGTTTCTAACTGAAAGAGTACACTTTGAGCGCCTAATTCTGTTTTTCCTATGACGCCGGCAAGAAAGACACCAATTTCAAAACTCCACCATTCAACACAGATCATTATCATTCCGGGAATTGCTAATTTAACAAATACAGACCACTCAAAGAGACATTCTTTTTGGAAGCCATCCCATGTAGGCTCGTAAAATTTACTAAATATTATATAAAGTAGTGTTAGTAAACACATAACAATAAAACAGCAGCTCTGAGCGACAGCTGATCCCCTGAAAAAGATTATCGAAGGTCAAACTTTCATTATCTTTATTAAAGTTCAACAAACTTTATCGAAAAATCCCAGTAAATTACAAGTAGACCATGTAGACCAGCATTCACTCCATTTGATATAAATCCAATAATTACTACTGGTAGTACTTTGTCCTGAAAAAATAAAACAAATACTTATAAAAGTTCAATAAATAACCTATATAGTGCACCTGAGTCATAAGATATCTTGAAAGGCAAATGTTAATAAAGTAAGCCTGTTTTAAATATATAAATTAGATAAAAAATACTTAAAATAAAGTAAACTACTGACGAAAATTCCTGGTAGAAGGATAATAACGTAAATTCCTGTTAGACTGTAAAAGATTGATAAATTATTATTAAATTTATTATAAAAAGACATCTTTTGCGAAGTTTCGTACTGAGATATTTCGGGATCTTGACCAATTGCTCTTAAAATGGCACCAGTGTTCACATGGATTGTCATACAGATGAATGCTGCACAACTCATAATAACAAGACTCCTTTGCAACACAACACCTACAAACTTCTTGTTCTTACTGCCATAAATCTAATTGAATGGTAGTTAAGGGGCATTAAACTTTATCGTTTACTAATTGTTTACAACCTGAGAAAAGAGAGTTTCACAAGCCGCTCCAAGCCCCGTAGCTAATGAAAATCCAGTGACATTCACTACCTTTAAGCAGATATATTTGAACACAAGAAAGAATTATAAAATGTTAAAAACTCTCAGAGTATCTATACCGAAACAGCTAGTGAAACAGCATCCAATTCAATTTTTCCTAACCTTCCACAAAATATAACTGCTATTGGACCAACTAACATTTGAGATAATTGAACAAAAATCTGAAAGCAAAATGAATAGCTTTCTTCTTAAATCGGAGATTCGGTGCTATCTAAGGCTATTTTAAACATAATCATATAAATATTATATAATTAAACATACTATTCTCCATGCTAAAGAATTTATTCCCTTAAATTCTTTCCAATATCCATTTGGAAAAGCTTTCCTGAATATATTGGTAGTTGCTGAGGCAGTCATATTACGCTTATGTTTATTAGGCTTAACTGACCAAAGTTCGTACACTACGCAATGATGTTGAAACTTTATCAGGCCTCTTTTGTAAATAAGCCCTACCAAACATCGAAAGGGTTACACTAAACAATTTGATAAAGAAAATCCATTGTATATATTAATTGAAACCTGTTCAATTAATCTTTAATTACTTGTAGGTGAAAGAGTATTTTTTATACATATAACATAAGAAAGAAAGATATGATTCCTTTTGAGTGAAGATAGTAAAAGATATACAACTAAAAAACAACATATTCAACACTATCGATGAATTCTATAGAGAAAAAGAAGAGTATTTTATTCGATAACATGCTATTTATGAGCATAAAAGAACAATGCAATAGATTTCTTCAATAACCTTGATATTGTAACAAAAAAATGTTTGTATGTAGAATAAGGCTGTAGTTATTAACTACAAAAGATAAGATAACAGGATAATAATAAATTCAGTATCAGTCGCAAGATTATAAAAGATGTGTAGTATTTATTATTGATGAAAAACATAGTTTTTCAATTATCAATTAATAAATATAAATAAGAGTATTTCTTTATATATATATATATATATATATATATATATGAATTATATGTATTTATTATCGCGTTTTAATCAAAAAACTCATGTTTACAATGAAATAAGATAATGTTTTAGAAAGAAAATGGATACTTCGAAGCAAAAGTAATTAATTAACTAAGTTCTCGCAATAGTTAATAATTTGAAAGAGAGATGCCACTTTATTAATGATACATTTTTAATATAATTAAAGTATGTTATGTAAAAATTGAAAATAGCATAAATATACAAATATATTATGATATACAGAAGAAATAAGTAATGTTAATAGGTTAATAGATATGTTAAGTTTGTTGTATTTTTATTAAAATTAAAATAATGGGTACGAAATATTGGATTCGTTTCAAAAACGAGTCTAAGAATAGTCGCTACAATGAATATACATACAATAATTATAATTGTAAATAATTTTTTAAATATTGTTAGTTTTGAAACTGAAACATTTGAATTTATATCTTCATCTTCTAACGATCTTTCTTCTGAATAAGGCTGCGGCTTATTTTCTTCATCTAGTAAAGCTGTTTTATAACAATAAATATCTAGCTTATATTCAGAATAGTATTTGTTTTATTGAAAATATTTACCTTTCCCTTCTGGATTTGTTTCTGTTCGTATTGAAGCGAGATAAGTTTCATTTATCCAGTTTGTTCTTGCAACAATTATAAAATTTACAATAGCACAAATACCAAGACCAACTGATAAACCAATCCAAAACCCTTGGGCTCTTAAAGATGTTTTAAACATAAGGGATATACCAATAGTTAAACCAACGCAATAGCCGGAAAAAATAGAAATTGCACCAATTTTCTGCCTTCCACAGCCCCTAAGTACTGCAGAGCTCATTGACTATTAGGAAAAACAGTTTAAATATTAAAACATATTTAGATTTTGCGAAATATCTTACATTAAATCCATCGAAAACAACATATGCTGACATTATTGGTAGTAGTACTCCAACGATGTTGATAACTTGACTGTAATATTTTAATAAGAATAATGTGAACTGCTTCAAATTCGTTCATTTAGTACCTTATTGATGTAAATATTTGAGGCAAAAGATGCTTTCCAAAGTTAAATATTAATATATTAGTTAAACCAATAGTACCTTATAACAAATCAATTATTAGTATATATATATATATATATACAGTATATTAATCTTTTCTTTTATTAACTACCTGCTATTGTAAAAGCAACATTTGTAGAAGTTTTAGCTCCGTCTGAGGAACCGTTGCCTAGAAATTGTCCAGTTCTTATTCCTGTAGCTATTCCAAATCCTAGAGGAATGCGATAAATAAATAAATCAATTTGGAAAGCTACACTCTGGGCTGCTAAGTCAGTTTTTCCAAGTAAGCCAGCAAGAAATATACCAAGTTCAAAACTCCACCATTCAATACACAACATAATCATGCCCGATATAGCTAATTTGAGAAATATTGACCATCCTATAAAACACTCTAACGAAAACCCAGACCAAGTGCTCTTGTACAATTTACTTAACCTTATACATAAAAGTGTTGTGATAAGCATTAAGCAATAGCTACAGCTGAGAGAAATAGCTGAACCCCTGTTAGGAGAGATGTAACAAAATGTTTATAGCTTTATTAAACATATAGACCTATTACCTTATAGACATTTGAAGTTTGGTGACCAAGAGAAAATGTGATCCAATATTAAAGGCATTACAAATTAGACCTATAATCATAATTATTATGACTTTATTCTGTAGAAATTAAGGACTTGATTATTATTTCAAAGTATGCCAATTAACTTTAAACAAACTTGAGATGAGAGATACTTGTATAGGCAAATATATATTGAATAAAACTAAAAGTGAATAGACAAAATGTCTTAATATCATGTTAATTAATAATATTAACAGTAAGGAATACTAACAAATAAGCCAGGAAGAAAGAAGGTCAAATAATCCCCGCTTACTCTGTTAAGAGTGCAAATATTAAACAATTTAAATTAATATTTTATACAAAATAAACAAACATACTGAGCTACTGAAGGATCTTGTCCTAGTAGAAGTAAGATTGCTTCACCATTAACAAGAAAACTCATAATAAGAAAAGCAGTCATACCAAATATGATAAGATTTCTTTGTAAAACTACACCCATTAATTTTTTGTTACTACTTCCATAAATCTAATGAAAAAAAGGAAAACAATTGAAATGTGATAATATCGAAGTAATATATATATTCAATTTTGTAACCTGTGAGAATAAGGTATCACAGGCCGAGCTTAAACCAGTATATACTGACATTCCAAAAACATTGATAATCTGTTGAAAATAAAAGAAAACAAGCATATCATTAAAATTAGCAAAACTATGAAGTATTTAAAAAGAATAAAATAAATCTACTTACTGAATTGGCTAATGCAACTCCATCTAATTCATTTTTTCCCAAATGTCCGCAAAATATTACTGCAACTATACTATAGAGTATATTTAAAATTTCTGTTACAATCTATTGACAAATATCATTAACTTAATGCATAAATTAATAATGATGTTAAAAGAATGTTATAATAAAAAGAAAGAAACGAAAATAAACTTACAATAGGCCAAGAGAGTAACAAAATTTCTTTGAACTCTTTGAAATAACCATTGGGAAAGAGAAAAGATTGTTTTCTATTCAATTCACTCATTTTTGAATAAATTGGTAGATTATATGTGGTCCGTGATAAAAGGCAGAATGGTTTCACAATAATCTATAAACAAAAAGTTGACACCACGCCACCATAACATATTGTATTTTCCTTTGAAACTCTTATCATCTTAACAGTCCTAATTCATTGTGGTTGATTCTTTTTCTATTTAGCATCTGTATTGTGTTTTGAGCACGAGGCTATTTATAACACTTGTATCAGTTAAATGTTGTGTTGTATTCTATTCTTAAATATTGTAAGATATAAAATGTAGAAAACCTAGCGTTTTCTTTCAGTCAATATTTGAATATTAGACCCAATAAAAAATCATAATTTAACTATGATTATACTTCTCAGTGGGAGGAAAGTAGTAATAATTTGTATTGAAATCCTAAAACCGACTAATAGATATGAATTATTTGTTGTTTTAGTATAATTACAATCTATAGTTTGTTTGGTTTGTTTATTAAAACGAAAAGCTCTTATTTATAAAAGAAAGGGTTAATTATACATTGCTTATAAATATATATACATACATATATATATATACCATATATATATAAATATATAAATAAATCCCGATTCTGATTGGCTATACGGTTTTTCATAAAGTATCACCCATTAGTGATAAAAATCCAGTTGAGAACGAAAGATTGAATATGAATGTGTGTCGATGGCAGTTTCTGGTGCTCTGCTTCCTTGTTAGACTTAATTATCAATCTTCATTGGCTCAAGTCTATATTGGTAATATTAAAACTTTACTTGTTTTTCATTAATTATTAGTAGTAACTTTTTATTATTAATTTTTTATAATTTGAACAGGAGGTATATTTGACAACGATAATTACATAAATATTTTTAAAAAGGCCATTGAATATGTTAATTATCGAAAAATCTTCTCACCCGATTATATTTTATTACCTTACGTTAATAAAACTGGACCATTGGCAAGTTTTGAAAGTATGCAATTAGGTAAGCTTATGAATTATTAATTTGTATATACTTTAGTTAAATTCTTAGATTCTTTATTAGTCTTTTAGGTTTAATATTATCTTAAATCATTTAGTTAATATTTAAAATTATTCGTATATGTTTTTGGATAAATTATGATAATTAAATAGCTTCGTATTAATTCGTTTTTTCAGTTTGCGAACAAGCCGAATTCGGAGTTATAGCCATCGTTGGTCCAATTAGTTCAACACCAACAGCCGCAATATCTCCGTTAACCAGCAAATTTGAGATACCTCAGTTAGCCCCAGCGGCAACCAATCCCCTATTAAGTGAGGAAAATCTATTTGTTTTATAAAATTTTTATGTATTATTCATACAAACTAGGTAGACGATCGATTATCGTATTGTTATCCATGGAACGTTGAAGGGTTTTTTGCCGTTCCATTAATTCATTAAGGCAGTTTTTCGGTGCGTGTAAACTGCAAATCGAATAAAGTTAGGATGATGCTAAGCCTTTTTTCTTTCCTCTTCCCCATCGAAAATACCAAAACTATATAAGATCATAAAAAATTCATATTAAAGCGGAATGTAGTGTATATTCAGACTTTTCTATTATAAAAAAGTGATTTATTGTCTTATTTTCTGACTTAACTCATCATTATTTTATTTGAAAATTATAGCTTATTGCTTTTAAAAACGACATTTTGCTACTTTATATACTTCATTAATATTCATATTTATTACTTTATTATATTCTCTGTTTGTTATTATATAGTTTTCTTTTATACATCTATAAAATTAATATAGGATAATAGATTTTAAACTCTACTAATTTATTATATACTAATTTACATATGCAAATTTATTAATTTTTCTTTATTATTTAATTATTTAAGATTTAGGAATTTACTTTATATCTATTACGCAAACCTTCCTAGAAGTTATTATTAAAAGTCACAAATACATGTTTATTGATATATCATAGTACTAGAGTCGTATGAAATATTTATGTATTCAATGCAATTTGATACTCATTAAATAATTACTGTAGTTAAACAATGTCAGTTAAACTGTTACTTTAATGATATAACAATTAATCTAGATAATAAAGACCTTCACCGTTTTTTGATACGAATGCTTGCACCCGATTCCGTTCAATCTGCGGCGTTAATTGATCTTGTATCGAATTTTGAATGGACTAACTTGGCAATTTTAACGTCCGATACCGATTACGGTATTAATGGTTTAATACAATTTCAAGAGGGAGCCGCTAAGAAAGGTTGGAAAATTGCTAGCGTTCAGCAATTTTCCACTTCTAACGACATTCAAAACGTGGATGCTACCGAACAATTACAAAACATTAAAAATATTGGTATTCGTGTTATTATTTTGAACTGTTTGGACGTTTTTGGTGAAGTTATTCTTAAGCAAGCCGAAAATTTAGGTATGACTGAAAATGGATGGGCTTGGATAGTTACGGATGGTATAACAGGAACGGTATATTATTAAGTTATATTTAAAAGCTCTAGGCATAAAAATACTTTCTTGTTACTTGTTTTGAATAGAATTTTGGAACGGAAAAGAATATTCCAAACTATATGAGAGGCTTAATAGGAACCAGACCTTCTTTTGGTCAAGGTATACTTAACAGAGACTTTCAAACATTTCTTGTTCCCGGCTCTATAAACGTAAATAAACATTATTAGCAGCTTATAATAACATATTAATAACATAAAAACTTAAACGTTTCATTTTAATAATCAATAGGCCTACAGTTCAAAAATAGCGGATGCAGTATTAGCAGTAGCTTACGGTTTACATAAAGCTTCACAAAGTAAATCCAATCTTGAATTCCCAAAGAATTTATCCTGCAATACAGCATCTTTTTGGGAGGATGGTCAATTTCTTTTAGATAGCATTAAAAGAGTAAGTAATTCACATAATTTAATTATATGCTAATTTCACTCTTTTAAACTTAATACTATTAAAAAGTTAAACGATGCTGGAATATCTTCGAGCATACAATTTAATGAAAATGGCGGTCCTCTTTCTGTACAATATGATATTGTCAATATGAAACTTGATGGGTGGAATGAGGTAAATGGCTTCTTTCTCTTTTTTAACTTGCACTTAATACACAATTATAGATGACAAAAACAAATATGATTCTTTCATGAATTAATAATAAATAGTCATTAGAGAGGATTTACTTGAAGTTTATATAAACAATACATTCTAACATTTTAATAGGTTGGAACATGGACCCCAAATGAAGGATTACATTTACGGAATCGTCAAGATATTCGATTTCATGGAGGATCCGAAATTGTTTTAGATGAAATAAGTCATTTAGTTAATAGAACAATAAGAGTTGTTTCCATAAGAGAGGATCCTTTTGTTATGCACTTAAGTGATGATATTCAATTGGGTTCTATTCTAACTCCTAACAATACCGAAGGTTTCTATAAAAAGATTTGTAAAAGCTATTAGAAATTTTAAAACCGAAACATTTTGGCACTCAATAGGTTATTGCATAGATTTATTAGAGAGGCTTTCGAAAGATATCGGCTTCAAGTATCACATGTACAATGTACCTGATGGGAATTTTGGCGCAAAAGATTCCAAAACGAGACAATGGAATGGAATGGTTAAAGAGTTAGTTGAGAGAGTAGGCACCAATTTACAACTTTAGTTTTTTTTTCTATTTAATTAGAATACGTATTTTTTCATTTTTTTAAACTAGAAAGCCGATATGGCTGTTGCTAGTCTAACTATTAGTTATGTTAGAGAAAAGGATATTGACTTTACAAAGCCTTATTTAGATCTTGGTGCAACCTTTGTCATGAAAGTATATTAGAATTTCATATAGCGTGAATTGTCTTTATTCAATAGTCTGTTTTTTTAAAAGACACCTAAACCGGAGGCTGCACGACCATTCAAATTCCTCGATCCGTTTACAAGTGAATTATGGTTGTTCATTGTAGTAACGGCTCTTATTATTGGTATATATTTATCATTAATTGATAAATTAAGTCCATTCGCCAGACATGGGGCATTCATTCATACGCATGGACCAAATCAAGAGGATTTGTAATGATTTAATAATTCATATAATTCAGCTATAAACATACATTTATTCTTATTTATTTAAGATCTATGGCATCTCAAGTTGAGTATAAAAAATTTAAAAGAATGAAACACGAAGCAACTCATGAATTGAACGCGACAAATGCTACATGGTTTTCAATTGCGTCACTTTTGCAACAAGGTGGAGAGATTTATCCGACGTCTTTATCAGGTTAAATACAATATACTTTCTTTAAAAAATTATAAATACAATAATATTTATTGTTCTTCAGGAAGAATAACTGCTGTTTTATGGTGGATGTTAGTTGTTATTATTGTGTCTACATACACAGCCAATCTGGCAGCCTTTTTAACCGCCTCCAGAACAAAAACCAATATAAATAGCATAGAAGATCTGGCTGCTCAGAGTGATATCAAATACGGTATGAGTAAATGAGTAACTTATATTATTTCATTGTGTTTATAGTCTAAAAAACTCGAAAGGATACAGTTCGTTTACCTCAGCCATTAACCTACAATACCATGTTTTAAACAGTTCATTCTTAATTGCTATCTATTGTTCAATCATTATAAAACTCATTTAATGAATAATGATTGGGAAAGGCTCTGACTTTTGTTATTACCGCGCATCGATTCTTCTCTATCAGTTGAATTAAGTAATTCTCTTCTTAGGCCTATTTCTATCCAACAATTACACTAATCTATATTTTACTTAGTAATTATTCCTTTCTAAAGCTTTCAACACGGAAAAATATTTTGTTTTTAAAAGTTAACATCTAGTTGTTTTTAATAGCGTACTTTTCGATTTCTCTTTTAGGGACAGTGGTTTACAGCGCTCCTTATCAATTCTTGATGGACAGTCAAATAAGCTTGTATAAAGATATGGCAAATACCATGACAACTAAAAAGACTCTAGTATCTTCAACGGCTGAAGGATTTGATAAGGCTAGAAAAGAGAATTTTGCATTTATATGGGATTCGGCCGTTCTTGAGTACGCCGTTGAACAAGAACCATGTCATACATTGCGCAGTATTGACAAACTCTTTGGACTAATAGGGTTGGTATCAGAATAAGAATTATGAGTAAAACTTTATAGTTTAATAAGGATTCTCTTGTTTTTGTTTGCTTTTTTTCATCAGATATGGATTTGGTTTACAAAAAAGTTCTCCTTATCAAAAAGAACTATCGGCACACATCTTACGATTAAGGGAGGCAGGCTATTTAGAAGAATTAAAAAATAAATGGTTTGTTGAGAGAGGTCAGTGTGGTTCTTCAGGCACAGTTGCCTCATCTACTTCTAGCGTTATTGAGGGACAATTAGACATCGACCATATGTCGGGTAACATGTTTATTTTTTTACAGTTTGAAGGTAGAATTTAGGTATACGAGTTTATTTTTCCAGGTGTTTTTTATATTATATATGGTGGAATCGTTTTGGGTTTAATCGCATGTGTCATTGAATGGTTAATTGCTTCACTTGCAGCGGTTGATAAATACGATGAGACTGTACTAATTTAGATATTATAAACTTAAGAAAGGCAACTAATCTTTATATTTCTTAGAAACCTCAAACTTTGGTGAATTCAATAAAAAAGAGATTGTCGAGGCTGAGGGCAGATTTTAGTGTAGGTTGGCTTCCCCCTCCTGTCCCTTGGTGTTGTCCTAAATCAGCTGCAGAATTTGAAGAACACGTATTCCCGCCTTCAAGGTTAGTTACTGTCAGGTAATAAGTAAACTAATATATCAAATTAATCAATACCTTTCAGGAGAATGTCAAAGTCCTCTCATCAAGATCTTCACGATGGAAATGGAGTAAGTCAATTTCGTCTTTCCAGTAAGTCTGCATCTTTGAGAAGCCGGTAAGAATATATATACAGTATATATATATATACATACATCTACTGTATATTAAATAATTTGTTGACAAATTAATAAAATAACTTTATAGTCGAACTGAATCACAAACTAATCTCATACCCGATCAACCTCCATCTATCGGAAGAAAAGTTGATCCGAGAATTGCTGAATCTATATTAAATTCGTTTAAAGGTAGGGATAGTGGCAATAATTATTAAAGTCATATTTGTTTTACTAGCTACTCTTTATATTTTTGCAGACGATTCGAAAGAAAACAATACGAATGGTAATATCTCTTCCTCACCAAAATCAAATTTAAACACAGAAACGTATTTTGTATATTAAGGCAAAAGTGTACGATTATCAAATAGCAATCCATAGAAAGTGTATTACATATGTATTTATATTGGTATATATATGTTAATAGACTGCTAAAAAGTATACACAACGATGTTTATCTACAAAAAGAAAATGCTTTCAATAAACAACAAATCTGTACAGAAATTGATCTCAGTTTTAATCAATACAGAAAGAGAACGACTATAACAATAGCTAGTTGTATATATTTTATTCTAGGAAGTAGGTCTACAACTTAAACTATTGTATTTAGTGTGATATTTCTGTTATTTCTGTTTTATATATTGAAGTAATTTGAAGAGTATATTTGTATGGTTCAAGCAATATTGTTCTCAATAAATTTTACTTGTTTCATTCATATAAAGAAGCATTTTCAATATGAAAACTGTATATAGTGTTTAAACTTTTTCATTATTCCTATTATGGCATATACTGCATATATGCTGCATATAGTAAATACAGTATAATACGATATAGTATAGAGTATAGGAGTATTCTTTTAGCTGCACCAACCTATTAATTGAATGTTTACTTTAAAATATTAAGTTATATATATATATATATAAATTTACTTTTAAGTCATTTAAGTTGATTTTAAAACGTCTCGAATGTATTAAAAAAGACTGAAGTTAGTATTAAAAAAAAGAGAAGTGGATGTGATGTTTCTCGAGGCAGTGAAAATTACTATACTCCCTCATGATTGGTAATTATTAATAGACATTGTATAAAGAAGGTACATTTTTTTTTCGACCAAGTTTAAAGAGTTCTTGCAATAAGTACATCAATATGACGAACCTTAAGTAAAGAAATACTCTCTACTATTTATAGGCTATATTACATAGGCCCTAATATAGTTTGTTCTTATACCTTTCGTAGCTTTTTATTGATATAATATGGAGTAATATTTATCATCGACGCAGTGATTGAAAGGAATTTTTACAGGACAGATCTTCCTCCCATAACTTTTGCTCTTTGGAGATAAATTACCAGCCATTGTTATTGAACATGGTCATGTACATTATAAAAATAGATATGTTCACAATTTGTTCTTTATTTAAAGACAGGAAATTGAATAAATGTTTATAATTTCTAAAATTTTTCATTTTGTTATATCATTTATAGCCGAATAAAATTTGATAAGAGAAAGGACTGCCAGAACAAAGGAGTATGGATAAACTATTTACGATTTTAGCTGATATATCAGACGCTAGGAAAGGTGGTGGCGATAGTTTTAGCGATCGATTGAGTAGTAGATATACTGTTTTCTTATTAATTATATTTTCGGTTATTGTTACAACGAGGCATATTGTTGGTAGCCCAATTTCTTGCTGGTGTCCTCCAGTTTTTACTTCAAGCCATATAGATTATACCAATAAAGTTTGTTGGACAACAAATACATTTTATTTACCTGTTTCTGAAGATCATTTAATTCCTGATGAAAATAAGATAGACAAAAGAATTGGATACTATCAATGGGTTTCCCTCATTCTATGCTGTGAAGCTGTGTTCTTTTATCTGCCGAGACCATTATGGATCGCACTTAGTAAAAAATCAGGCATCGAAATTTCGACACTTATCGATGCAGCAATCGAGTGCGAAAAATCTCTTTCGAACATGGAGAAGACAAAGCGCTATATAATTAAGATAGCAAGTAAATTTCTTCAGAAAGTTAGCAGAAAGCATATGACTACTTCATCGTGTAGATGGATCATGTGGAGATTCTATGGCCATTATTTGACAATCTTATACAATTGTTTTAAGATTATCTACTTGTTAAATGTTGTTGTTCAACTTCAATTGTTAAATTTCTTTTTAGGAACTGATTATACCATGTACGGATTGAATACAATGTCAAATATCATCTTTAGAGGACAATGGGGACTATCAAAAACATTTCCAAGAGTTACTATGTGCGATTTTAATATAAGAATTATAGGAAATGTTCAAAGACATATCGTTCAGTGTACCCTTCCAATCAATATGTTTAATGAAAAAATTTTTCTAGTCATTTGGTTCTGGCTTGTTTTTGTTGCTATAGTGACAGCTGCTAGTTTAATTCTATCATTAATGGTAAGTTAACAAAAAGAAAGCAAGACTATTAGATTATAAATGATTCAACTCTTTAGTTAATTTTTAAATAGTTATATAAAGCTGGGGTCTTTAAATTTTCCACTTTCAGAGTTTACTTCAAAGTGAGGACTACGTAAAAACGAGACTGATAACTCTTAAAGAGTATCGAGGGAAATGGGCTACTAAATGTAATGTTAAACATTTTTCTCAACATTATTTAAGAAGCGATGGTCTCTTTATTCTTCGAATTTTGGCCAAAAATACAAATGATTTACTTGCATCTGAAATTTTAATTGGACTTTGGAAAGAATACCAAAAAGAAAGACAAGATATTTATACAATGAATAAATACGAATTACAAGTAATGGATATTACGTTACATGAACTCTCTCAGGATCCTGCAACAAAGCTGCCTACCTTAGAGTTTGATCGTACAGATTCAGAACATGATAACAGAATAAAAGATGAATGCGAAACTCAGGAAGAAGAAAAACAACAACAACAAGAACAAAACGAAATAGAAGAGAAAGAAAGAGAAGATGAAATGTAAAAAGTAGATAAAAGCTGAAAGAAGAAAAACCTCTTTATATGATTGATAATAGTTAAAAAAACACAAAAAGAAAAGAAGCCAATAAATAGCAAATCCGTAGCCTAGATTTAATTTTATATTTAGAAGAGACTGATTTCGAGTGAGTTTGTATTGTTATAGATAAATATATAAATGATTTAAAAAGAAACGCTTTGCAATAACTAGTTACGAAAATCAACCTACAACAGAAAAATTGTAAACATCTTTATAAAATCATATTTTTTTATTTTTGAAATGAAACATCTTTTTATAGAAGAAAGAGAAATTTTCTTCTTAACTATTCAAAGTATTTATAGTTTAGACTATAATTTATTAAGTAAACATTTAGTATGCTTTTATTACTTAATTACACTTTAATTATCACAAAATTCCTCTTATCATTATGTACAGTAATATAATAAAATATCAATTATATCTATACACATTAGACGGAATGAATAGAAAGATAGTTTTAAAAAAAAGCAGTTATTTCTCTTATATATAGTTTTTACATTTCCTGAGCCATTTGAAACTTCAATAGAAATGTCATGTATGAAAAGGAAATCATTAGGTTATATAATATAAGATATTTGAAGCTTTCTTATCTCAAAAATTCATTATTTAAACCTTATTTTATCCAATTGTACTGTATATATCTCCAATGTATTGTGAACTAAAAGTAAACTTAAAAAGTCTAGTTGTACTTTGAAACATAGATGTAACATATCCCTACAATGTGGGCTGTGACAAAGCCTAGCCATTTGCAAACTGATCCTGAAGAATACGCTTCATTGAGTCTTAAATATAGCTTATCTATAGATTTATTTGCTAGTTAATTGCCTTCTCTTCTAAATTTAAAAGATAAGGAAAAGATGATCAAGCCTCTTTAAGGTAAATTGTCTAAAATACAATATTATATGGTCAGTTTGTACGGTTTTTAGGTCAACTAAAAATTTGGAGAAATAATTTCTATAGCTGTTGTACGCTATCACAAAGTTGTTTTTTAAGTTTACACAAGAAAACTTGGCTAAATAAGGCCTATATTCTCTTGTCTCCTTACTTAAAGAAACAAGCCTTCTTATAAAATCTTTACAACAAATATGCTTAATAATAACGCTAAAAGAAGAAATAAATGACCAAATAGGCCTCTTTGTGAAGACTATTTCTCACAGGGATGCCGTATTCGTGAACGTAATATTTTTCTTCAATTTTGTTAATTACTTCTCTATTAACATAAAAAACTTGATATATACAACAGAGTAGAAGAACCTTTAAAAAAATCATTCAAAAATCTTATATTCAAGAGTATCTTTTGTCCATCAGTCTTTCTTATTCTGTCTAATCATTCCCATATTCATTTCTTTCTCTAACTTGTCACTTTTTTAATTAGACTTTTGGATTAGCTGCATTTCATATAAAACCACTAATATGTAGGCCGAACAGGATTTACTGAAATTCCGTTTCTTTAGCGATGAATAACTAAAGAAGAAACAAATAGATAAAATGAAAGAATACGTATACTTAAGGAAAAACTGAATAAAAAACTATAAATTAAGTAAATAATTCTACTTTAAGATTGTTTGTTAATACTTTTTAACATCAGAAAAAACCTTTTAAGAAGTAAAAAAAAGAAAAACTTTTTAGTGTAATTTTCTTTCGCCAGATGGCCTCCGAAAAAAACTTGTAACACATTAAAAATTTCATTGCATATAGAGAGAGAATTTTCGATCCTAAATGCGGGTAATGTAAAATGTTAACGTCTTTATTCTTACAATAAAAGAGGAAGAAAGAGAAAGGAAGAGAGAAGAAAGATTGTATACTTTTTTCTTTATCTAAAAATATCTCTTACTAATATTTAAAACTTCTAAATATTTTGACTGACACGGATAGAGAAAGAAGGATATTTTTTCTTCATTAATCAGGTAATTCTTTTTAAAAGAGATCCTTTTCTCAATTGGCTAAATATTGATATATATATATATATATATATATATATAATATGAGATTTATACTGTTAAGCAGGTTTTATAGTCTAAGATATTTTCAATTTTATTTATACAGTATCTTGTTAAAATAAATGTTAACAAAAAAAAAAAGAATTTAATATCCAAACATTTAATCCTTCCTTCCTGCTCTTTTTAAGAAGACAGAAAACCTAAAAACCTATGTGTACTTTACGATCATTATGTTTTTTAAAATATTCAAGTGTTTCCCTTCTTCATTTTCTTAAATTTGAATAATTGAAACTTTAGACATTCTATAAAAACGTATGGATAATGATTGAAAATGGTCTTGTCTTAATGATATTATAGGATAAATGCTTCAATTTTATAAAATATTTGTTGATATTATTTGATTATACGATGAATTAAGATGTACTTTATTATTAAACTGACAGATTAATGACTCATTTAAGTCAAAATTGAAAAGGAAAAAAAAAAACAGGCCTTAGCACTTTTCTATTTGTAATAAATACTGTATTTATACGTAAATATATCAAGAGAAATGTTTGATATCTTTCGTATTTTCATCCTTTTTTAGGTGTTGGAGCTGAGAGTTTTGACAAAAGAATGAATTTGAAATTTGTCGTAATTGTTTGTATCATTAAGGAAATTCACTTAAATATTCTCAAAAGTAGAAATGAAAATGGCAAAATTGTTACCGTGTACACTTTACCTTATTTCAATACAACTCTAGAGTGTTCAATTTATTGTGAAAAAGGAGCATACGTTTGGGAATCAAAAGCTCTATTCGATTACGATCCAGTAATTTCCAGCAACTACGAAATATCAATAGAACGGGCAGATCAAAAGTTTTCGTTAACTAGAAAGAATGACTTAGTATTTCTTAAGACTTTACCAAGATGCTTTGACAAATTAATCAAATGCTACTGCCATGATCGTAATCGTTCAGTAAATTACCTCATAAAAGAAACAAGTAAGTATAACTAGTCTAAGAAATCGGCTTTGGCAATAAAATTTTGTTTATATAATGGTAACTTTTTTACTTTATTTGCTATTAACTTTTTATACTTTTGATGTACTTAAATATAAGAGAGAATACAAAGGAAATTAATATTAAGAGTACACTAAAAAAAGGACACTTAGGTTATTAAGAGGAGAAACAATTGCTTTCTCTTTCGTCGTTTGAATATGAAATACGTTATATTGACAATGGTTTATTTTCTAATATTTAGAGCCTCCGAATAAACCCGAAATATCAATTAAGATGATTGATAGAAAACCGGATAAAATTTATAATGTAACATGTAAATTTGAAAACGCTGGTGTACCTGAAGCAAAAATAACTTGGGAGGTTAATGGAAAAATTTCGAAAACTAATTTAAATAACTTTTCTACTCTACTACCGCAACAAAAAGAAAATAAAATATCATGCAGATTAAGAAATACATATACTGTATTAAAAAACGAAATTATTCAAGTAACTGCAATAATATCTTTTGAAGGTAATAAAAGACTAGAATACTTTTTATTTGTTTTAATGGCTCTCTCTCTCTCTCAAATCTATTATTTTTTATACTATTGAATCCTTTTATCCTAAACTAACTTTGACAAGCACGTGCTTGAGAGGTTATGTGAAAAGTGATGCAACATTTAAGTTACTTTGTTTTCATGTTTGATGTCATTTCTTTTAGTACATTTTCTTTCTTCTCTTTTTTAATACAGATGAAGGAAATCCCCTGAACGAGATGTCAAAAAAGCCTATTAATCAGGGTAAGCCAAAAAAAAATTCGATATTTACATTTCCTATTCTTTCAGTATTATCGTTTAGTCTCTCTTTGACTTGAACAACCAAATATCAATTAAAACGTTCTAACTATTTAACTTTCTATAGTTGTATCAATACTTTTACATACTGTATATCAATTAATAACATAGTAGACTTTACTAAATTAATAGTATTTAAAATAAGGTACTTCTTTTATTTTTATAAAGGAACTTAAATAAGGTCATTGTATAAATGAATAACCGATTATACCGACAAAAGCCAAAGTTCCTTTATATAGATTGCATTTAGTATCATTTCATTATAAAATCAAGGCGAATATACTGTATGTTTCAGTTTTTAAAACTAATTAAAGGATAAATTTCTTTAATAAAAATTATAACTGATCTGCTAAAGGTTTTTGATGCTTGTAATTTGCTCTCTTATCTCTGTTTGTTTTATTTTGTTTCTTTTTTTTTATAGATGAACTAAGAGCAACATCATCACTTCAACTTTATTTTAATATAATAATTTGCATGCTTCTGTGTGCAGTTTTATGCGTAATGGCCACCTTGATCATATACGTTTGCAAAAAGAAGAGAACAGCTACAGGTAAGAGATAGAGATATGATATGTTTAAATCCAAGAAAGGGAGAGAGAGAGAGAGAGAGAAAATTAAATTAATAAATACTTAGTTGTCTTCTTATAATGTTTTTTAATACCCAAATTAATGTATTAAACATTATAGATATATATTAAAAAATATTATTAAAGTATATTTAGCCAAATCGGTCTTAATCATAAGTCGATTACAAAATTGTAAGCGTCATTAGACTTATTTTAATTTCAGGATTAGTTCTAGGCAAGAAATCTCCTCGGGCAGCCAAATCATGAACCTTTTTAAAAAGTCCAATATATTTTCTATATTGATTATTCTTATTTCCTCACTGTGTTTCTTCAGATGTCACTGGTCAAGTTAAAAGTTATCGGCCTCCTGAACTAAAAACAAATTTAAATCGATCGGATTCATTTTACTCCGAAAACTATTCATTTCCCGATGTCCGCTCCAGAAATACATCAGAATATAGGGATTGTACCCAACTGGCGCCATCTTGTGACTGCCGCAAGCATCTAAAATCTATACATGAAAAAACAAATGAGGTGGAAATCTATGATCGAGTTGGCACAGATGTCTAATAATCATAAAAAAAAACAAATTCAATAATTCCAACCATTCAAACAAATGAACAGGAAAAATCTTATACTTTTTATCATGAGAGTTATGCAATGAGACATGGATGTTAAAGTACTTTCCAATGTATCCATTTTACTGCAATGGTAAAATATAAAAATTGAATACAATACAGTATATCGAAAGTGTAATATAAAAAATATAATAAACGAAAAAACCTCTTTATTTTACAGTTGTTTCTTGTCTTTTAATATTTCTTTTTTGTAGAAAAAAGTGTAATTGATCTTTTAAGAGGAAGCCTCTTTAGGTTGCTTTTAAGTAGTTAATCCTTTATTATCTTACTACTCATTTAAATGTAAAACGTCTATTATTTTAGGTATATTTTTTTCTCTGTCTTTTTTTTTGTTGATGTTGTTAACACTTTGTTTTTGATAAGAAAAAACATATTTAATAGCTTTTTAACTACGTAATTATCAGCAAAAAATGAATCAATTAAAGAGTAGAAAGAAAAAACTGTAACTATCTTGGTGAGCAGTCTCATATTCAGATGTTTATCATTTTACCACTTTTATCCTATTCTCTAAAATATCTTTTTTACATTTAGTAAAAGAAATTATAAAGATTAAATGGAATTATTTTCGAATTACTGTAATTTGTTCGTAATACTTGTTTACAGAAATAATATTGAACGTTATATAAACTCTTCTTTTTCTTTCTAAAAGTAACATTATAAACAAAAAATAACCTTTATAAAACATCGAAAGTAGTGTAGAAAAGAGATTTTTCCCACGTCTGCTTTATTTTACTGAACGATTTTTCTTCCCCCTTGCGTAAGAGATGGGCGAGAGACAGAGAGAGAGAGAGAGAGGGAGAGAGTATCTGAAGAATTACTTTCAAATATGATGCTATCTTTTGATCAATTACAAATTATTGCTCGAGGTTTGTAAGTAAGGGATACGTTGATGGAGAAGAGGTGAAAGTAACACATTGAAGAAGATATTCTATTTTGTTTTAATTGAAATGTAGAAATACTGTACATTAACAAGAAATTGTAATCAAATTTATGCTTAAAGCAGTAATTATTTATAGCATATAATTTTACATATATAAGCAGAATGTATGAAAGTATTAAAGGAAATCAAAATATATATATATTAATTTATATAAAGCTACACAATTAAGTTGAATAATAGTTAAAAACTGTTATATTGTATAGCTATGTCTTTTTTAAAATAGCTCAAACAAGCCAAATTAAACGATATAATAAAATCCTTCATGATAAAATAAAAATACTTTTAGAAAGAGGATTTTCATATCAAAGAAAACTCTCTGCTAGCAATTAAACTTTAAAGTCTATAAACAACTTTCATCCACTTCTTTTCCCGAAGAAGCTGGTAATCTGTTATGACTCCTTGACGTTGCACGACTAGAGCTATTTTCGCTAGACTCTTCCATAATCTTTCGTAATTCTTTTGAATACTTGTGTAAATCGGTATTTTGATATTTACCGTCCCTGATAATCTTTGCGCAATTTTTACAAAGAGTACCATCAAATTTGTTGGTGGCATTTGAATAATGGTAATTGGCGTATGACAGTTTAGTCGTTGCTGTTTGAGAGGAGTTAGCACAATTTCTATAGCGAGTTTGATGAGTTGTTGGGTATTTCTGTTGATTTCTTACAGAATTCTCGCAACATGGGCAAAATTTTTTCAGCATTTTACTACTGAAAAGCACATATATCCATGGATTTACGCAAGCGTTGAAATTTCCCAATAATACGCACACAATGAAAGCTTTTTCTGTACGGAGAATAATAATAATAATAAATATACATTCTTAAAGAATTCTATTAGGCCTATATACTATAGTTGTTTTTAAACCTAACTTTTAAATTAATTTGCATATACTTGAAGATAAAAGAATAAAATCTAGTTAATTTTGATTTGATAGAATAAAAGATAAAATATTAAAAAAACAAATATAAGGATGAAACGGAGACAAAGACAGTAAAAGAGAGAGAGAGCCGAATTTCATGAAAAACAATACTGTTAATTAATACTTATCTTTTATCAAAAGTGTCAAACTAAATAAACAAATCACTTTTTTATATTTAAGTTGATATACTAGCAAGCGTCTACGCCATCTTTGGGATGTTTTACTTATCAGTTATATTAAAAAGAATTAGGCGAAACGGTAATTCTCTTTTTTTTTGTTTCACTTGATTAAACTTACAGTTTGAATAATTGTGTAATTAAATCAAAGGCCCTTCATTAAGAATGTACTCAAAGTATAATAAAGTATGAATGTTATAAAGCTTCTTCGTCAGCGCTTATAGAAAGAGTTAAATTTGTACGATACTTACCACCAATTATCTCCCATTTCGGAGCGATAATCCAAATTAGATGTGTTGCAAAAAATGGACCCCAACACACCAAATAGGTCAGGCAGACGACAATTGCTAATTTAATCGTCTTCAACTTCGCTTTAGACATAGCTAAATTGCTGTTTTTACGAACTTCCTGAACGGAATCGCACAAACTGCAATTTACTCGGCCCTTGGTTATCACTGATATATGACCCGTTCCGTTAAACTTGTATACAACTGTACCGCAAGCCAATTTTTGAGGATCATTCTTCCAGATTGTATATCCGATTCTTCCATAAAAGTAGACAAAAGTGAAAAATGGAATGACATAAATTGTAACAAAAAATAAGCAAGTATATATAGCCACATTTCTATTTGCAACATGATTTCCCCCAAAGTTTGCTTTGCACGTGTTTTTTATGTCAGGATCCGTAGACCAGATAAACAGTTGCGGTAAAGATAAGAGTCCAGCCGGAATCCACGGTAAAATTATCATCTTAAACCGATTTTCGGCAGAAGATAGCTTTTTTAAGGGTCGACATAAAGCCATATAACGGTCATATCCGATAGTAACCAAAATAAATGAGCTTAGAAACATTGATAGTGTTGTCATGTACTTAAAGTATGAGCCAACTAAATGAATTATGCGTTAAAACGAATGGTTGAGTCTTAATAAAACAGTAGAATATTTTATAGTTTAAACGTTTGTTTATAGAATAATCAATTATCATGTCGTCAAAATTTCCCTATTTTCCCACAGCGTTTAGATGTTTCTTAATTTTTGTTTTTTTTTTATATATTCCATTAATTAGGCATAGTAAACTACAAAAATGATATTCTTGTACGATATTTAATAATTGATATGTTATTTTTGTTAAGGGTAAGTAATATAACACCTAAGGCAATACGTTTTTGTATTTTCATATTCGTTTTCATGTTCATTTACAGTTTTGGGATAAGCCATTATCACGCTTGATTAATACTCTCACGAGGTGTTTTCCTTTAATTCCAACGACAAAGCATAAATTCCCTCTTACTCACTCGCACACTCGCCCACTTTCCATCTCTGACAATATCTTCTCTCTCGTCTCCCTTCCCCCCCTCTCTCTCTCTCTTTTATCCTGTACTTCTTTCCCCGCTGTTTTATGCTCATTTATCTACTTCTATTTTAACCTTGCTCGTTACTTCCTGAAAATTTTTTCCCCTTTCTCTGACTATCTTATAACTATATAACGAAAAACAGATAAGACAAATATTTTAATTAAGCATATATAAAGATAATTTGTAATTTTGCGGGAGAATAAGAAATATCTTCATCTCAAGTTTTCATATATAATAACTGGATATTTTTGCCATTTCCCTTTTCACGAGAAATATCGTGAAGTATAATGAAACACTACAGTCTACTATTCAACTTTTTATCAACGAACCATTAGACATTCACCTACAAACAATATTTGTCTATTCGTCTGTCACTTTATTATTGAAAAGAAAAACATCTCATTTCGTTCTTTGTTGTCAGAAATGAAAAAAGTTGTAGAAAATGAGTAACGTGTGCTGCAAAATCTCAATTTTTCACCTAAGAAATACTCGACTAAAAGAAAGGGCAAAAAAGGTAATAATAACTTTATTTAAATAATGAAATTCTTTTATTCTAACAAAAAAAAAGTAGTCTAATTTTATATTAAGACCAAAAGAAATATAGACAAAGAGACAAGATGAGAGAGAATGAGTTAATTCTTAGTTAAAGGGACCAGAAGCGGTTATTTAGTACAACTATTAATGTATACTAATATATATATATATACTTAAAGGTGCATATAGACTCTCTGAATTAGAAATCATCAGTACTTCAACAAAAAAGCAAGTATGTAAATCTATAGAAGAAAGCTATTATCTCACCATACTACATATATACATATTTTTTAAGACTAAGAAAAAATGAAATTCAAAGAAGGCTATATAATTTGAAGGAACAAAAAGAAGAAACTATATAATATACAGTATACAATACATTAGTAAAATGAAAATATAGGAAATATATATTTTGATAATCTTGCTAGAGTGCACATGTGTTTTAAAGGTAAAATAAACTAAAGCTATGATATGGTTTTGTTATTTGTGATTATTAGAAAAGGCTAGAGTTAAAAAATAATATACAAAAAATATTATCAGGTTACATTAATATGACATAAACAAAGATTTCAATTTATTATTCAATAGTATAAGTAAATAATCAAATGCTTTTAGAGTGTGTAATATAATACATAACCTTCTTAGTTTTTTTCTACTGGAGACGGGAAATTTGTGATAATCAAAATAAATTTAATTTTGATTGATAAAGCATGTGTTTTCTTCTTCTTCTTCTTCTTCTTCTTCCGCTTTTTGCTTTTATATTTCTTTATCTTTTTATTCGATTCTTAGAAAATATAACTATTGTATATACCCTGAGCTAAGTGAATCCATTCAACTTCTTGGCATCTCTCTTGCTGAAAATTTGGATAAAGAAGAAAACCAGTCATGAAAATCTCAAAGAAATTTTCATTGTATAGGTTTCATTCGTTAGTTATTCTTTCTAGATTGAAAAGGGTATTAGCTTGAGAGTCTGTGTTCATATCGTAAGATTTAACTGATGTTCGTAACATATGCTAATTAATGAATGAGTAAAAGAATTTATAGAGCATTAGGAGAATAAGAATATCTCAAATTCCCCAAGGACTAATTATACGGTTATTTATTACTAATTGAACTCGATTATTTCTACGCGGTAAGCATAATTGCAATAAATTTTCTTGTTAAACAGCGAAGTAAATAAATTGACCAAATTTGCATTCTTCTATCTCTGCTCTAAATGATCTTACTCTTTCATTTGTCTTTATAATACAAGTTATTTATTTACAAAAAAAAATCAATAGGATACACTTATAGCCATGAAAACGAAGTTTAATTTTAACATATTTAAGACTAATCGAAAATAATGAACAGTCGCGTAGTTTTTATTCGAAAAATGTCTTATTTATTAAGAAAGAAAAGAAAAACTTTTAGCATTAAATATATGATTAGCATCCCTCCGGGACAATTATAAGCTTTTAGTAGTAAGCCACAAGCGATAGTAAAGTTTTTTCTATCTATCTTTCCTTCTTTTTTTTTCCCTCGCTCATTCACTTACTCATGGCGTGCCCCTCGCTTTCTCGCTCTCTCTCTCTCTCAACCTCTCTATTCCCTTTATCTCACCCTTGCTCTCTATCTTTCCAGCTCATGTTCTTCATCTCTTGTCTTTTAGTTGCAACATTGATTGAAATCGATAAATCTGACAAATTTCAATTCTTGACTCACAAATATATAATACGCAGTTTGTATTGTTGTCTTTATATATATTAATAATTGGAAAAATACTGCTATTTCTGATCTTAAAAAATTATAACCACTTTTTTGTTGTTGATGTCTGCCTTTAAAATAATTAATTCTAAATAAACTTTTCTAAATACTCCATACAAAGAGACTTTTGAGAAAAGCGTCTTTTCTAGACTTTAGCAATATTTAAAAATTGTAAACGAAATATGATGAGTATTAAATGTTAAAAACTAGTTTCTTAAAGGTTATTCTCCTATTTGTAGCAAAGTACAAAAGAAGACAAGAAAAAATGAGAAGGAATAAATTAAATAAGTTAATTAGTAACATTAACAGGCTACTATGAATAGTATACTGTAATGAGGAATTAAAATATTTCGTTATTAACAGTTAATTAGATATATCATTATACTAATATATATCAATTTATATATAGATATATAGAGTATATATTTAGAAAAAAAATGCTTTTTTGTATCTCAATTTAGCTTTCTTGCTGTCATTTTGAAAGATTTGTTCGTCGTTCTTTATGCTTTATATCGCAAGGAATCTATAAGATCTGTTATAAATTTAAGATCTATCTAAACTGCTGTCATATAACCGGTTTAATAATACAATTACTTAAATAACTGCCTGTATTACATGGTTTTTGTAAAATGCGTCGGTTACTGTAAACGAAGCTTCTTCTGATAAATACATTTATAAAATCGTCTCTAACACTGGGGATGAATTAATGGGTGACGCTAAGTAAGTGTTATGGCACATATTGGATCCTAATTAAATTTATTTAGGAAATTTTGTTAGAAATAGAAAGAATAAACTATTTTCGGTAATCAAAGTTGATTGATGTAGTTTGACAGTAAAATAAGATGGAATGGAAAAGTGGGGAGAGGCTATAGAGACGAGGTGGAGAGAAAATAAACTTTTAAGAGTCACTATATGGACTAGTGAAGCGAGAAACTCCTGAAGGAATAAAACTCTTGGTCAATGCAGTTGCTATAATAATAGATGTGTTAGAGAAAAAGGAATTACTAAGCTGTAAAATATAAAAAGAGAAAAAATGTTCATTTTCTTTATTCTAAACATGTGAACGGAGTGCTTTCTACCTTTTTCTTCTTTGTCTCTAATATTATATTTTTAATATACAACATGCATTTGATAAACAGCTTATAATAGACTTTATTCATTAAAATCTTTTATATTAATGATTTCTATGTTAATTAGGGTTCAAAGGTTTTGACATAATGTCAATTTTCATATTTTTCGGATAATTGACTTTGAAAAATTTTCCCTTTAATGATTCTATTATTATTACTGTTTAATAGTATTAATGGTATGGTACTCTTTCTATATCTATTAATTTGTATTAAGGGTTTTTTATACTATATACACTTGACATAATACTTTGAATATTCTTTAATATTTGATGGATAATTAGATAATTAAGAGATTATATTACTTTATAGGAAAAAAATTATTTTGACTCATACTTTAACGAATTTACAGCAACCATTAGAACCGTAAAATAATAATATGCTCTCATCGTATTGGCTCGCGTACTGCAGACAGTGCTCGATCAATTGCGGTCCAACCTGAAAAATTGCTACGAGCAGGTCGGCCAAGCATAAATGGAGGATTAGGACGTGAATTCTGCTCGTTTTTCTTTTTTGCAGTAATAGTAAAGTAACAAGAAAGAAGTTTGCAAAAACAATAAAACAGAATAGAATTGCTTGAACAACAACTTCAGTTAATCTATTATCAATTCGAGTTGGAATTGTCGAATTGTTCGACATGATGAAAAGAATCTGTAAAAATTGACTATTGTGAAATATTTATTAACGTTGGTCAATGAGATTCTTATGATACAACTTGAATGACTTATTGATTTATAGACAAAATTATTTTAACACTTTTCTAGCTTTCATGAATTCTAAATATCTTTTTTATAAAAAATAATACTTTCTAGTTCATAATATATAGCAGAGCTTGTCTGGGATAGTCTACATTCGTTAATCCTCTTAAAGGATTAATAGAACAACTTTTATTGGCCATTAATTTGTCGTTGGTCCAAGAAATCTATCATTTACACATGCGAATGATTTCCTTTTTCTCTGCACTTTTCTACATCCTTAGCTTTCTTCCTTAGTCTTAAAAAAGACTAAGAGAAAAATTTAACATTTTCAAAAGTTTTATTAAAATTTTTAGAGTTCAACGGAAAAGGTAATAAGCACTATTAAAAAAGTTAAAAGTGAAAACAACTTACTTAACCGTTGAAACGTGATCAACCCTATGAGAAAGAACTAGATTCTCAATGACGCTCTTGATAGTTGTTTGTTCAGGGCAAGAATTTTAGCCATTTTCAAATAATGCTACCTAATCTTTTTCTCACATATAATTGCTCAAATTCCCTTTGGTTATCCTTCCTTTTTTTCTTCTTTTTCGTACTCTTCTCCTCCTCCTCTCTCTCTCTCTCTCTCTCTCTCACTCTCTTTCTTTTTTTTTGCTCTCTCTCGTCCTTTTTTGGTTTTTCTTTTTCACTTGATCATTAACACAGTTTCACAATATCCTTGTCTTTAGCTCTTGCTCTCCTCTCGAACTCTTTCTGCTCACTCGTTCTTTCCCTATAACATAATTTTCTTTCTTTTCCCGTCAGGGGGGGTAGGAAGCAGTTTGGCTAGATGGCAGTCTTCGGTGAAGGGTAAAACGATATTATTGGATCTTCTCTGTCCAATTGTATACCAATTTAGAAGAAACTTCTAAAAAAAATAATAATAAATATGAACTCAGCCAACAGTTATCAGTTATCAATCTTCTGCATAGGTCATATTTTGTCTGTAATGCAATTCATCTACAACCTAATGACTAACCTTTCAAAAATTTATCTTAGTTAAAAGTTATATAATTTAAAAGACCCTGCACTTGTGTCAATGTGACAAACAAAGAAACAAAACGAAACGTTTTTTTCTTGAGTATTTGGTGTTTATAAAATTTAAAGATAATATCTTGTTCTGAGTATAGTATGTATAGAAACAGCTTGGTTAGAGGGCATGCTGGATTCGATTTTCCAACAAAATTGACATTTTTAATACGGGACCGACCTAAATAGACAGGTGCGCTTAGATTTAAAGGGTTGTGTTTTGTACTTAAATATTTAGTTAAAAAGAAAAAAATTCCAGCACTTTTGTATAATCTTATTCCACCGTGTGTATCAATTCAGTAGACCATAATAATAACAACTGAAGGACCAATATATACTCCCTTTTAGCCCCTTTTAACTCAAATGCACGAAGGAAATAACAATTTAACCTCGTAAAGTTACAATAGAAACCTAAGGTACGAGTTTTTTAATTTAATTCCCTATTTTTTAAATTTCTATCAATTAAAATAAATTTATTCAGATCAAAGATTTTCAATTTTCTTACATAAATAAAAAAGAGAAAATATCAAAAGAGAAAAAGAGAGTGAAAAGGTAAATTTATGTAAATTAGTGGTCTATAATTTGTTATCCTTTTCATTATACAAAAAGAGATTCATCATGTTGTATGTTCTTCAGATATAAAGAGAAGATAGATTCTTGAATCGCTTCTATGTGTTAATATAAGGAAATTTAAAATTCTTGAAGAGGAGACTTAATGTAGTTTTGTGTTTAAGTATACTTACTGTTCTTTTTTATATGTATATACTGTACATATACTGTATATTGTGCGCGTGTATATGAAACGTAATAAATTTTTAGGTTGTCTCTTCTAGACATATCAACCGTTCAACCGTAAACAATTACGAAATCCATAACCCTATCATTCTTATTTTTTCGGCTTAATAATAAACTAATTGTCCGAATATTTCTCTTCAGCCTGTTTCTCTATTCATTTCTTTATATCTTCAAAAATACCACCACCGCCACCGTGTGTCACGCCACAACTGTTGTATATTTATGAACCCGAAAAATGGCATTTAAGAGGTAAAATTCATAACCATGCGAACTGTAAATTATGTGTTTATATATACAGTATATATATATGTATATATATATATATTAGTATATACAATTAAATGAATAAAAATCTGCTATAAAATGATTTAAGACTGTATATCTACCTACACAAAGGTATTTTTACATTCCCTCTCTTTTCCCCACCCTTTACTCTATCTGGAATACAATAACCCTTGAACGCGGTAAAATAAAATCGTATTAACAACTAAAATGGCTTGCCATTGATAAAAAAAATTTAGTATCGAGTTCACGCGTCAATTGTTGTAGCATTGAAATTGCTTTAGAATTTAAGGTTTTTGAATTTTTACCTGTCTAAGAAAACAGAACTTCTCTTTCTAATAATTATTTTTTTATATTATATATATATATATATATTTATATAAATATGTATTTAGTTTACATTATAATGAGAAATATAGTCCTTTTTAATTGACTTTATTCCAAATTCTAATCATTTCAATGCGTGATTTGTTTGTTAATCAAGCACAGGCTGTGTTAATTATATAAATAAACATGATCTTGTACAGGATGAACAGCTCATGAGTTGTTAACAAATGCTTTTCTTCAGTTGCATACTGTAATTTCGAATAAGTATACAAATTAAATGGACGTATTTCTAAACTACATTTTTTAGGTTGATGTTAAGTATGTACTGCCAATACTGTATAGTGCAATAAGTATTGTATATATAATACGTCAGTTTGTTGTAAGGAATTAAACGAATAAAATTAATAGTAATGTAGCACATATAGATAATTTTACAAGTAATTCTTGAAAACGTGTCAATACAAGTTATATTTGCAAAATATAAGAATACATGTAAATATACTAATATATATGATTAGTATATATACAATATACAGTATATACATATATATATATATTTATGATAAATGCAATTGTAACAATATATAAATTTTCCTGGATAATGTAGACTTTACCAACAGCATGTTTTTTGACAAACCAGATTTTGCGGGGTTTGGTTTTTTTAAAAGGAAGAATAAATGAGTTAATTTGCAGCATTTACCTCTTTTATTGCGTTTGTTCTGATATAAATATTTATGCGTTTCAAAGTAGTATACTATTATCCTAACAGTATTGATAAGCCATTAAATAGTCAACAGCGACATTTTGATCTATTTTGGGAAACTTAACTTTTCAAGTTGCTTTCAAATAGACAATGCAAATCAGTCTTTTAGTCTAGTCTTTTAGAAAAAAATTGAAATATTTACGTAGTAAGTTAGCCCAATATATATATGCAATAATAAAGTTTAAATATTCTTATATTTATTCAATCAAGATTTTTTAATTCATATTCACCACAAAATGCTATAAGTTATATTGAAAAAAAAAGTCTTGTAATCTATTAATCTCTTTAAAAAGAACGACTAACAAATAGATACCTTTATTACAAATGTGTTTATATAGCTGTAACTTTGTGTTTATCACGCGAAAACAGACGACTATGACATATGAATATATGTGTATATATAATTTAATAATTATTAAATAATTGTTGTACCATCATATTTAGATTTTAGAATAAATATCATATTTTTTCAAAGATATTAAAATGTAACAATTAACTGGAATTAATTAATTCTAAAATAATTCATTTTACTTCTATTATGTAAAGGAAATGTCAATTTTTTATAATGATTAATTGCAGGTTGATAGAGAATTGTTCTCCTTAAGAAATATCTATTATTCATATAAATATATATATATATATATATATATATATATATATATTTATAATAAGAAAGAATCTATAACCTAATTTTTATCATTTTCAATCGGCGAACTTTTCGTAAATCGTAAATCAATATATATTATTACTAACCGATTCATCAAAAAGCTTTTCTTATATAGAATATTCAAGCTATTTATGACAGTATGAAAAGGAATGGAAAAAATAACAAGAATATCTTTGCTATCCTAATCGTTTAGATCAATGCTCTATTTCTATTTTAGTCATTAACTACCGAATACATTATGCATTCTGTTTATTTTAATGTGACATATATTACTAAATATAAGTGTATATATATGTCAGACGGTGATAATGAAAGAGAATAAGCTCTGCGTCTATATATATATATATATATATATATATAAGTTTACTTAGAAATATGTAATCTATACAATGTATATATTTTACGACAGAATAGCACTCTCCTTATCATTCTATATTGTTAAATATTCTTTTCTCCATATTTTTTTTAATAGTAATTTCATATATCAATTGGAATGTTTCGTCCATAGCTGTTAAACCTTTCCTATAAAGTTAGCAGACCCGTAGTTGGCGATTTATCTATTGCAAGACAACTACCGACACTGCTATACGTATAGAAAAGATATGGCTGAAAGAAATATCGCATTGAAATCTCCTCATAAAATCTCTTAAACCAAAAGATATCTTTAACAACTGTATATAAAAAAATTTAAGATAAATTTTCTATTAAACATACCAATTCTCTTATTTGAAGAAATTTCGTAGTTGATTGTACGATGTGTTACAACGAAGTGAATAAGAATTGAAGAAACATTTTGAAAGGCGCCAACCAGTAGACCGTTGATGATCAATGGATCATTTCGATTCCTCATTCGAAATAGCATTTACCTCAAATACCTATTATCACTCTTTTATCAAGCATATTATCTTATCTAATTTTATGGTATTTCATATTTTTATTAATAAATACATTTTTAAATTTTTTAATATAGATTCCATTTCGGTAAGTTGAATTTTATTTTGGGCGATATTAGCCAGAGCACAGCCTTCAATATTCTGCCTAAAATTCGTTTAAGGCTGTTACATTGTGATAGCGCCGCCGTTGTTGAATAGGTATTCAAGTCGCTACAGACATTTTTCGGCTTTTTATAATTTGAATGGCTGACAGTGAGCAATGGCTTTTTTTCATACAAGCAAGGATAGAGAGAGAGAGAGAGAGAGAGAGAGAGAGAGAGAGAGAAAGAGAGTATAACAGAAGGACTAAACAATGGGGAAAAAAGGCTATATCATGTTTTGCCTATTTTAATTGAAAGTAAAATCTTTATAATAAAATTTTATCTCTTTTAATTTTATTTGTTATAAATATAAATACTAGTTTTTTGGCAATTTTCACATTTTTTATCAAAAAAAGAGAGAGAAAAGATAAAATTTAAAATAAAAAAACAAAACAAGGAGGAGACTAGAAAGATGTTTTCCTGAAAACCGATATGGTGTTGATTTAATGTCAACGTCCTCTCCCTTACATGCATCGGGTCAATTGGAATTGATTTTTTTTTTTTTTGTTTTGGAAGTTTTTCTTTTAAAAATTTCTTTTCTCTTCTTGCTTGAGATCTTTTCTATTTTTCTAGATCTTTTTGTTGTACAGTACTCTCATTCTATATCCTTTTGTCTATCTCGCGCTTATATATATAGCTATATATATATATATATATATATATATATATATATATATATACTGTATATACATCTACACCCACGACTTTGATTCCTAAATCTCTTACCTTTCCTGCTTTATTACACATGTACCTCTTAACGCGCCAATATTGTATTAGCGCCATCTATACCTCACGACAAATAGTTGTTGTTTTGAGCCCTAAGGCTAATGCCCTTCTCAAATCTCTGTACTTTCACTCCCTTCTCATAACTCCAAGTTCCTTTCTTATTCGTTCTCAATACCCTATTTTTAAGCTGTTCTCTAACGATTTACTTTATTATCCTTTCCAACATACTTGATTACATTTCATCTTACTACTATATACCTCCAGTATTAAAAGTCCACTTTTTTATTATACATAATGGTTTCATTGTAAAAGGGAAAAATATTTACAATAGAATAAAATTAAAAAGGATTTATTTCATCATGGATATTGCCCTTTCTTTAATTTTATTTTAAGAGTTAATTATTCACAAAAAGAAATACATGTTTCAGATATTTTCTGTCGTTGTAAGAAAATAATTAATTAAACTATAAGGGAAAATTTAAAGCAAAATATATACTCTATAAATACAATATGTAAAGCTGTTTATGACTTCTATCTAAAGGAGAACAGATTTAATTTTAATAAAAATAAAACAGTACTGGATAATTAATTTCCATTTAAGAATTAGAGTAAAAAGACGGATGTATCTTCCTTAAAAAAAAATGTCATCTTAAAAATTTTCAAAACCATTATTACATTACATTATTCTATAAATATAATCAATTATTTAAAAAGCTGACGAAATCTTTACACGAACTACTTTACTTTATTTCAATACGAAAATTTTGGAGTTGAGTTTTACCTTTCATCAACTTCAGAAATATTATCTTTTCCTAATATTATTTTTACTACAAAATGCATCGATTAGATATTTTTAACTTAAAATGAAGAGAAAGATAGAAAGAGAGAGAGAGAGAGAGAAAAGAAAAATTATTTTAATCTATTTTCAAGAAAGAATCTATAAATATTGAACGAAAAAACTAAGGAAATTATAAAAATATTAATTATATCATTAACTTTCTCTCGTTTTGAATATTTTACAAATTTCTCTGCCACTATATACAGTATGATTGCTTCCTTGAAGTGTTCCTAGCGAGATTAATTATATTAGAGCCACGTGTAATAGATATAATATTCTATTTTAATTTGTGACTAATTTTAAATATTGATTAAAAATCTAAATATACTACTCACACCATTATTACAAATATTATGTATTAATTTATAAATTAACGTCATTTTGTCATTTTATACATTAAAAACTTTTTATCATTATTATTATTTTGCACGGAAACGATAAATTTGTAACTAATTACATAGTAGATCCCTTTTAAAACTATCCATGTTAAACGATCGTGCTATCTCTGATTTTTATTCCTCAACAGCTGTCTATTCCAATAATGTTTATAAATAACAACTTTCATAAGCAAACTCGTTAAACAGAGCAATTTTAATATTATAGACTATTCTCTTTGTTATTTCTTTTCATCCCATGTTTCAATATGCTGCAAAAGCTTTGTCTCTGTCTACAAACTATCATCTATCATCATTCTCTACTGCCCATTTATTTCCTCTCTCTCTCTCTCTCTCTCTCTCTCTGTCGCTCAGTTTGTCTTTATCCCTTTTTCTCTCCCTCTCTTGTTTTGACTATCCCCTCGATTGTTCCGTCTATAGTTAACAAATAATACTATCATTTAGATTTTTCCACTTGATTATTTCTCATCATACAATAATTAAAGCTAATAATTCTTTAAGAAGCTGGATTGATAAGCGAGATACTGCTTTTAAATGACGATATTACGCAATATCGGTATTTTATAGTACGTATGCAATTAAAAGAAAACGCAATACAAAAGCCTAAATTATGCCTAAAGTTTTCAGTTTTGATGTCAGGTGTTATGTATTGTTTAATAAAGGAAGTACTTAAAGAACAGTGTCTTCAGTTTCAAGTATATAGAATTTACCAATTTTGAATGTAGCTAGTGACATCTTGCGACAATACAAGATAATTTACTAGTCAAATTCTAGTTTTAATTAACATAAGAAATTGTAACTAACTTAATTAGCCAGAAAAAATAAGCATGAAATAAATAATTCAATCTCTAAATTAATGAAAGAAAAGATACCATTAGAGATATTTTCAACTGATCTCAGTTAATATTAAAATCGATTCATTAATAAAATCCCTTTCTTTATTTTATTGTTTTGCAATTTTAAATGATTTAGTTTAAACAGGCCTAAGATATTAATAACGTGGGTGTCTTAATCCAACTCTTTCAAAAAATATCATATCTTTATTCAAGCTTTGACTCAAATACCTATTACTAAATGCAATAGTATATGCAGGTATATATATAGAGATAGATATATATATACAGTATATTGCATACAAAGTGTTCTCGAGTTCAGCCTGAAATACTATATACTTATTATAGGTTGGTAAAGTAATAAAATAGATATAAATTGTTACTTATGATAGAAGTAACTATTTAAAAAACGAAACTATGAAGTGTTTTCAATTAAGAGAATAAGTGAAATTTATTACAAAAAGGTAAATAAGCTACAACCAGTCTGTTTAAAGAAACGATCATTAAAGGATTGAAAGGAAAGAGAAAAATTAAGAGGAAAAAAAGGAAGGAGAAAGAAGCTACACGAAAGAAAGGACAGTTTAAACAGAAAGAAAAAAGAAGCGGATTGAAGCAGAGAGAGAGAGAGAGCGCGATAGACTTTCGAGAAATATGCGCTTTTCTTGGTGCAAAGATTAAAGGATTGTTAAGAGTGATAGAGGCTAGAAAAGTTAGAAGCAAAACACATTATAGAAAACATCATTATGGCTAGTGAACTGAATAGTTTACACAACCAAATAGCTTTGTTGAAAGCTAAAATATTCCGACAAGTTTGTAATCCTTATAACATATCTGTATGAAAAGATAATTTGAAATTCCTCTACCAAAAGCTTATAACCTAATGCAATTTTGCTGATAATAAGAAAAATAGTCTTATCAGTCTATAATTCAAAATATAATATAATCAATAAAATCGTATTAAGGTTTATATATATGCACCTTAGAGATTATAAGTAGGATACTCGAGTTTGGTAGTACCTGTAAATTAGATATTACTTTACAGATTAACACTTGCCATAACAACTCTTGCATTTGTCTGGTAAATAAGTTAATTTTTACTAAATTATATTTTTTAATATAATACATCTATATATATATATTACTAGATATAGCTTAATGAATCTTTTATAGAAAATATACTGGTACATAATTAGATATTACTGGCTAGAAAGTTTAACGTTATTTATATTTTAGATAGGATATTGGTATAGAAACAGTAAACTGATAGTTGCTTAGGAAAAGCAGGATTGTTCTATTGATTAATATAAATATATATTTCTTTTCTGTATTTTACCTAATTTTGTATTATATATATATATATATATATATCGTTTCTTTTTCCTATATAATTTACAAGAAATTGGATGGAAATGAGGACGTGGAACGTTTACGTACTGCTTCTCTGAAAAAATTTCCAATAGGTTGTCATTGTTTATTTCAAAACGTTATTATTTACTTTTCCGTATTAAATTACATAAATACAGAAGAACGTCATTTTCCTGACGCTCAGCAGCTAGATCCTGAGATGGAAATTAGCGAGGACAATGTAAAACTGCATCAAGCTATGTTAAGACGGCAAGAATTATTGGATAGAATAAGGGTGAACTTAGCAATTTATCAAGAATCTGATAGTTTAAACTGTTTTATTTTTTCTTTCCCTACTCAATATTTTCTCTTTTACATTAGCACGAACGACAGGTTAATGACGAATTAAGGAGGCCAAGATCCTATACAGGTAAAAGGTATAGAAGTCCTTCTCCTATAGCTCCCTCGAGACATTCTCTTCCTGGTTAGTTATCATTACTACTAAAAAATATCTTACTGAGTAATCACGATTCTTATCGTAAGAGAGAGGAAACCGTCACGTTATAGAACATCAATTCAGGCATGTTCAGCAAAGCCCTGTCCATTTACCACCTATCCAACAGCATCCTCCCAGTCAGCCAATTTATTACCCACCGCCTGTGGTAGAGCAAAAAAACAGCAAAGCAGGTAATTAGCGAGTTAATTAGAGAACTAGTAACGTTATTTTTTATCTTATGAAATATTTAAGATGTGATAAGATTAATACATTTTTTTATATCTTTGATTAGAACTTATGGAACTGATGCTTATGCAAAACGCTCAAATTCATCAAATGGTTATGCAACAGATGATGTTAAGTGCAATTCCTCCAAAACCTTACCAGAATTATCCATCAGAACAGCAAGTAAATTATATTCCGCATTTGATATTAATTCTCAAGCAAAATCTATAGTAATACTAACCAAACTATTTTCACCTAGAAACCTACAATTAACCATTTCCATCAATATCCTAATCAGTATACCCAACTGCCTCCAATTCGAACGTATGTATTTTCTACTCTATAATAATCGATTTATCGGTTATTAAAACCATCAATTTTTAAACTGGTTCTTCACAGACAAGGACTTTTGCCGACAAGACACGAACATAGGCCTCTTCCTATAGGTGATTAAAAATCATTAACTAATCTTTATAAATTAAAATTTACTTATCTGTGTTAATTTATCCTTTTGTGCTTGTGTAGTTTATGCTAGTCTCTTTTTCATTTGTATTTACGCTGCTTCAGATGCTCAGCAATTTCAAGAATCAGAACTAATCCAGAATTACAGACAGCAATGATTAACTGTGTGTCAATAATTTTACAATTCCATTATATGATTGTCTTTATTAAGTAATATACTTCTCTGCAAATACCAAAAACAAAAAGAATAACGCAAATTCTAAAATAACCGTCGAATACTATTTTGTCTTGACTGTTTTAACAATTATAGTAATAATAGTAATAATAAATTATTATATCAATTATCAAATACAATTTTTAATAAAAATCAAAAATCTTCGGCAGAACGTAAATCGTCTAGAAGAAAGCGAAAAATTCCTTTTCCTGGCCCAGGTATATAGGCCTATATTATTAATAATATTTAATTTATTTTTAATAAACAAATCTTAACAATTAGCATTAAAAAAAACTATTTTCTCTTTGTAAACAGAGTCTTTAAGAAAGTTTAGACGTGCGGCCTACGCAGCGTATTTCATTAAATTACTTGCCAATAAAAGATTCAGGGTAAGGGATAGTTAGTGATAATTAAATATAAAATAAAGAGATTAAAGATAAAAACGAATATAGTACATACTATATTTATAGAAAGAATACTAATAATTAAGTAAAGATAAACTAAACTGAGGTATTTATAACATGTAATTTTTGACTATTTACTAGCTTCGTACATCGGATAAAAATACATCTTTTATGTTTGGTATCAACTTGAAGGAGATAGTAGCAGCTCTACATAGAATTTACTTGGAAGTAAGTAATAATTTATGATAAAATATTATTAGAAGACAGATTAATTCTATGCTATCTAACCTATTAACAAATGAAAAATTTTGTTAAGCGTTTAATTACAAACTATTTATCAGCCTACTGGGAAAATTTATTCCGCTTTGAGAGATGCAATTTCCGAGAAATCATCACCGTATGCCATTATCTTTGATTCAAATGCTAAAAAGGAAGAGTTGAAGAAAACTTATACAGAAATGGAATATGTAGTCGAAAATGTTGTTTACGGAATTACAGCTATTATGGTATGTATAGTTTTTTATTGCGTATACTCTAATCTCTGGAAATAAAAAAATAAGTAGTTTTTGATGAAATATTTACAAAATAGCTTTCTAATCCTGTCAAGAGATTATAGTCACAAGCATAAAAAAAACTTCACCCCCTCACCCCCTACCCACCTTCTTTTACACCCACCGTTATATCTTTCTATTGATCAATGTTGGTAAATCTTTAAGAGAGCTTAAAATAAAGCCAGATTTATTCCAAGAAAATACTCCTTGTTTTGTAAACAAGGAAGTATTTGATATATTTTTTTATAAATATAAATATGCAAATGATTTAATATTTATGAATAAATAATAGGTAATTAAGTTTAGTAATATTTTATGCATATTCTCATAATTTACTCTCTTCTTTTTGGGTTCTTTGGCACAAGGAAATGTATATTGTATAGTTTTTTTTGTTTTAATATTGTTAAAAAAAAGGTCGATAGCTTTTTTTTTTTATTTTTACTATGACATTGTATACTTAAACTCAAGTAAATAGGAAGGCCTTATTTTCGCCTACTTAAATTTTAACATTAAAAGTATTAGTCATCTGTTAAGGTTTTGGATAGGTTTAAATATGAAGTGACAAATACCCAAAAAATTTTTGTTGGCTTAAGATAAGGATGCTAAACCTGTAAATATCCTCGACCTGGTTATTATTTATTTAAGTATTATTCTAAGGAAAGGTTAGAATTAACTTATAAGAGCTTGAATAAAAGGAAAATCTATAAGATCACAGAGTTAATTTAAACGGAATAAAAAATAATATTGAAATATGAATGAAATTAACAATTGTAATGATAATGACGATTGCGTGCTAAAAATCAATAAGATCTCGACCTCTGATAAGACTTATCATAGTGAAACTGGTTTCGACGCCTATTCAATAGATAAAATCGATGAGAACTTGAATGAAAGAATAGAAACTATGGAAAGAGACACTAAAGAGCAGGTTGCTTCGGATACAAAAGCAGGGGACAAAGATAATATTCCCATGGAAGAGAATTTAAATGAGGAGATAAGTTATACGGCAATCAATTACAATGAAAGAGGAATTAGTCATGATAAAGAAATTAGACAAATGATTGAGCTAAATAAATCTGAAGAGATAGGAGAATTATTACTTTCAAATATAGAGTTGAATAAAAATCTGGATCTAACAGACGATGACCTCGATTCTATGTTAGAGAATACAAATGTCGAAGAGATCAAAAGCAAAGGAAATAACGTTCGATTTAAAATCGAAGACGCTGAAGAGGCCAAAATCGATTTAGAAAAGGAACTAATTAACAATGAGGCAGAATTAAGTCCTGATGTAGAAAATGATTTAGAGCATTTAAAGTCGCAGTCTAACGAAACAAATGCTTTAAAAATCGAAGAGGTACAAGCTGAAAAAGAAATAGTATCAGAAATAGGCGGTAAGGATGAAAGAAGCGTTGAATTGCCAACCGAACCGGATGTAGAACGGACGGAACCTACATTCGATAACCAATTGGATAATAAAGAAGTAATGGAGGAAGCTGAAAGAGAAATACTGGTAGAGTTCGCTGAGAATGAAAACGTTAAAGGGTCAAAATCTCTTGAAATTAAGGAAATTAATATCGAGGCAAAGGAAACGAATAATGAAGGCAAATTGCGTGAAAAGGAAAATGAAAAACTGGACAAAAGTGGAATCGTAGCAAATGTCCTAAATTTAGAAGAAGAACAGAAAGAGCAAATTTCACGTAAACATGATGTTGATGGCAATCTCAACCTCGATTTTATTTTAAAAACAAATCAGGATAAGGTTAACCCACAAACAACAAGTATTAAAGACGAATATGACTATTATAAAGATCTAGAGGAAACAAGCGTCACTATTGACGAATTGGTGAAAATAAATATGAAATATTTGATTTAGATTTTTCACTGTTTATTTCGTAAAGAAAAGCACAAGAAAGATAGATTGATTAAAAGACTTAGTTTAAATAATTCTAATATTCATTCTTACAATATATAGTAGTAACATTATCATCTTTTTCTCATTAAAAACAAAACAAAACAAAAAGAAAAGAACAAATAGAAAATGTAAACAACTTTCTAGGTTTTTTTCTTTTGCTCTTTTACGTTATTGTTTATCCTCTAATTTTTTTTTATTAATGGCTTTTTCTTTTAAATTTTGCCGTTAAAAATCAATAAAACTGTTTCATTTAATATATATATTATGTTAATGAGTTTCTCTTTAAAGCTTATTTTTTTATGCCTTCTTATCTAGCCAGAAAGCGGAGCTTTGGGAACCAAAAATGTTAAATCCTCAATATTCAGCGTAGTACAAAATGGTAAAACATTCCCACCGTCGTATTTTTTTAACTTTGAACAGGTACATTTACAGATAGATATGTTTATAATTAATCTCTATTAATAATTATTTATATCCTCTTTTAACATAATTGAAATGCGTCTCTATCTATAAAGGAGCGTCTGCGATTTGATGATAGAGGGAGAACGATTGGTTTGACTACTCAAGATTCTGTGCTAATTATTATTGGTCTTTTTATATCACGAGCTTTGGTGACAACAGTAAGTATTAGAAATAAAACAACTTTTACCATAGAGATTTCTGAAACACATAAAGTAAATCGGCTAATACCATTTGCTATTACTCTTATCACTGGTTACTCATTCCCTTATGTATATATACTGTATTTATAGAAATATATATATATATTCAAAATATACAGTATATATTTAAATTGTCTATTGAAAACAGCTTTTAATGAAACCGTACGACTACCAACTATCTGTATCAAGATTGAATGATAAATCAGAAGGAAATCTAAGGGTCTTATCAAGTATATTTATATACTTGGTAAGGCTTTGCTCAGTAAAGAATGAAAAGGAAATGGCTAAAGCGCCTGTAGAATTGTCCAACTATTTGTACGATGACACCCAACTGTCTCCCATACTGAAAAAGATGTCGAAGAGTATAAAATATTCAGAAAAATTAATTAGGGATTGGAGTACAAAATATGTTGTACAGCTGAATAATTTAAAAGAAGAAGTAAAAAAATTGGAAAGTTTGTACGAATAATACAATAGAATATCTATGCATGACAAACAATACAAATATACTGTATATTACTAACTTGTATACGCTAAACTACTTATATAATATTTAGTTACTTTCTAATTACCTTTGCTATTTTTCTGATATCATTCTTTCAATTTATCAACAATTCCTTTTCTGAATAAATGATTATCATAAAATAACTAATCTAATCATTTTAGTTTATATAAAGAGAATGAAAATTAAACTATTAAAAGAGAATGTAACTATTAATAAAATATTTGAATATTTTGCTTAGTTATGTTTCTTTTTTCAAAGAGGTAACAGCAGTATCTTATTTACTATCTTTTATTGAGGACAGTGAATCTTTTTTCGAATGGATAATCCATTTTTCTGAAGAATAATACTTTCAAATTTCAGGTTCATATTTTAGATTAACTTTATCCTTCAATATAGAACAAAAAACTTGGATTTTCTCTAGCGCTAAATAATATCTATGTCGTAAAAAGTGATAGATGGACCAAGTTAACCGCAAAATAAATTACCAGTAGTGACATCTAAAGGCAATAATTTGTATTAGCCGCTATTCCTGTCGTGACTACATTTTATACGGATTCTAAAACCAATATACTTTGGAATATAAATGACAATCACTAGATGCCACTACAAGAGATATGGTCTGTAAAGTAACAATCTATTTATATACTGTATATATACAATTTATATATATATACTGAAAATACCGTTATGTTTTTTGCAAATATATAAATTATAGTAGCAGTCAGTAGGAAAATAAAGAAACTTTAGTAACAATGCACTTTACAAAATGGTATGGAAAATTCCAAGAACTTTGTAGCATTTTCATTTTCAAGTCAGTTATAGTTTTTTGTCAATCTGTCATTTAAAGAGTTTAAAATTAGAAAAATAAGAAATCTACTGTCTCTGTAAATAAATGGTGCATCTTTTTCCAAAGAATTTTATGATCGATCTATTTGAATATGTTAAAAATTCTTCTTTTTTAGACTATTCGTCCTTGAATTACTAAAATTTAATAATATACAATTGTAGTATTAAAATTTGTGTAAAAATATAGTTTCAATGACAGTTATATTGATTATTTTGATGGATAAATAGCAGAGAAATAATGAAATATTTGAATTATACAAGCTAAAACCAATATTTTTGTCTTTTTTGAGAAAGAAACATATTCTATTCATTTGAATTTACTCAATTATGATGGAGGAATGGATGTAAGGTTAAAATTTCTTACGACGTGTCTATTGGAACGAAAGGAAGAGACCAATGCCATTTTGCTCTCTTTTTTTCTCTTTTACTGACTAATTTTATAATAGTTAATGTAGCTATTCGTGGGTTGTCTGAAGCTAAGCTTTCATTGGAAATTGTATATGTCTGGATCCTAATTGGTATATGTCCTTATTTTAGTTCTTCTTACTTTTTTCTTATTTTTTATTACAAGTTGCCATGCTTTTCAATCTTCAAACTACTGTATAATTGATGGATATTGGATGTCTTTTGCCGAAACTTTGCATGCTACCGCGTCTTTTTTATCAGTTCAACTGTATAAATGTTTACTTATTGATGAAATAGCGTTTCTTTTTCAACCGAAATAACTTTAGTTTCTTGTTGCCCGTTATATTCGAATTGTTGAAATTATAAGAATTAGTATAATATTACAAATTTTAACTATTTTACGCTTTAGGAATATTTATTAGTGTATATTGTCCAGCATTAAATGATCATTGCTATCTAATATAGTATTTAATTGAAAGATAGTATATGTTAATGTTATAATAAGAAATAATCAAATAATATCGTAATATTCATTGAATATTTATAGCATTTTTATTTCTAAATAAATATCTTTTTCGATACTGATAAGAAAGTAAATTGGGTGAGACAGTCTAAAGCAAATCAATATGAAAACTAGTTTTTATTATAAATATACTATATATAGTCTATAGCTTCTTTTATTTTACAAGCCTATAAGGGTACTAATCTAATTAAGTAAGATTTACAATATACTGAATTATTGATATTCTCTTGTTCAAAATTGTTTATATATACAGTCTATAAATTTATATATATATAATACATTTGATTCATAAATATATATATATACTGTGTATATATATAACATATATATTATATGTATAACAAGTCCCCAGTAAATTGTGCATTTACAACTTGAGGCTATGCGAAAAAAAGTGTAATTATCTACTGTCAAATGGGATGGTAAAAATCGTAAAATAAATTATGGTTATAAAATTATTTTGTCATTTCTTTCCTTCTCATTCCGACCATATCGACATCATCCAATCCTCTTCTTCTTTCCCCTTCCCTCCATCTTGTTTCTTATCTTAGGGAATACCCAATAACATTTTAGTAATCATTTTCCTTCTGTTTAAATATCAATTTGAATTTTTTCTTTCTACTCTATTTGCATAATTTTGCAGCAGAAACAAGTTGATTTTATTGGCATTATTAACCGTCTCTTCTCTTTCTCTCTCTCCCTCTTTTTTTTATAGTTCCATGGCGATTGTTAAAGGCCTCAAAAGGATTTAAAATACTTTGTAAATTAGTTAATATTCCCGAAAGTTTTAATGATTAACAAGAAATATTTTCCTTTAGACTTTTTATCAAATTGTTGAGTTATTTTCGAGCATATTATTCTCTTTTCTTATGATATACTGTATTTCTTCAGCAAATAAAGTATCTATACAAAGTACCAATAAATATTTTATATGCTAAGTGTAAAAGGATACTTGAAATAAATAGATTAGTAAATTTTAGACAAGAAATCTTTGAAAATAAATATAATTGTTGGCAAACCACTTTAGTTGGATAAAAGATATTCACACTACAGCACCCTCTAGCGTTTAATTTCCAATTATTCCGGCTGTCTCTAAAAATCAAGCCTACAACTGCAATCAAACTGGACCCGTCAAATTGCATCTGAAAAAACAACTCAACGTATTGATCAACATCTTGGATCATTTGGACACTCTTCCGTCTCTTTCTATTCACTTTACAAGGTTTATATATTTACCATCTATTTTTTGCCGTTCGCTAGCATAAAATCTCGTAGCCATTTTAACTTGTATACAATACATGATATATAATCTTATTGAGAGCAACTAATTTCAGTATACTCTTTCTTTCTCCCTATCTATTTCTTATATTTGTATTACCTATTGTTCGAATTAGTCAATTTTTTAGTATAAACAAGTATTTATAAGTGTTACAAGACCTTTTACGACATAAGGAAGATACAGTTTATTTTTATGTACACATACTTTTTATATTATATTTGTTAATATAATTTTCGTAATCTCATTTCCACACACACACACACATACACTCTCTTTTTCCCTCTCTCTCTCTACCCTTTCCCCTCTAATAATTTCTTTTTCGCTAGCCATTTGAAAAGGTGTTGGTGCTGGTGTTCTTGGATTTTTGTAAATTGGTCTTCTTTATCCTTAAAAAGAGAGGCTAATAGACGGGCTTTAACATTAGCTATAGTGAAAAATGTCCCCGGTTTCTATAATCTGGATTATACTTGTTTGCTTGTGCTTGTTAGCGGTGGCCACATCTGCAATTGCAGTTATAAGATACTGTCTACAAAAAAGCAGGTTGATTCTTAATTCCTTGAAATGCTTTTTTAGTAAAGAATAGTAATGATTTTTAATTTGAAGTTAAAATTCTGTATTCTTTTCTCAGGGAACAAGATTTTACAGAATTAACTGAGGAAGAGGAGGAAAACGACGCACTCTCCCATCAAGCTGGAGCATTTCCCATTTGACGAAATATGGAATATGAAACACAACCTTTCGTTC